TTGACTTTTTCTAGGTGTATCGAATATAGAGTCCAGGTCCGAATCTCTAAATTCAGGTAATACAGAATTATCTTTAATAGATTTTTCGGGTAGTTGACTAGCTTCGAGTAAGTTTGAAGGACCAACTTGGTCCAAACTTGGTTTTTCCGGTGATGGCGGCAACGCGCATAAATTTTTGGTCGGTTTTGCACTTTTGTTAATCAATCGACGACCTTTTTCGGTAAAGTATACATCATCCTCTTTAAAATGCAATGAGCATACAACACAAAATTTTGAAGGCATCCAATTATTATCCTGCCTACTTTGACGAATAATAGTAACCCATTCATCGCGTAGTACTAGATCCGTCGGCAATCTGCAAAAACATAAGTCAAATTATTGTATATAACAATAAAATAGAGCGGCCGATAGAAAATCTCAAAATTGAAAAACATAGCACTAATTGGTGGGTTAAAATAAATAACAAGATTTTCGAACAAAGATATAATATATATACATAAGTTATTTCCGTATATAAATGTATAAATTAATCAATCCTCCTATGTCCAATGCACATTCCCCTAATTCAAGGAGACCTATTTCGATGTAAACTGGCAACACAGACCAATTGTTGACAATATTTTGTGTTCCGAGAGAGCCAAATATATTAGAGGGAACATAAATAACAAACCATTAAAATAAGCAATAGTTACCTGTGGAAAGATACTCCATCTTCTTTTCTTTGTTTTTGGGAACAACTTTTACAATGTTTAAAAACACAAGACGGCATGTTTTAACATAAAATAATAAATCACTTGTGACGTGTAAGCAGTACGACGCGTAGTTTAGTACTGACGCGAGATTGTATTCGCTTCTGAATTTGTATTTGCTTTCGTGGCTTCACTCTCGTGTTCTACGCGCTCCATCTGTCTATTTTTATAATCTGAGATAAAATCAAACGAACTTCTAAATACGCCTGCATTCTGTATTAGAAAATTTCACAAAAATAACTTTAACAATGAAATTTTGCAGCCAGTCTTAAGCCTAGAAAAATATGAAGGTAAGTTCAATTGACAAAATTACCTTTATAGTCAAATAATACGCATATCATACATATTACAATACCTATAAACTGTTACATATCCGTAATCATAACATAACATAAAAGTAAAACTAATATTATAATACCTATAACCTGTTAATAATTTCGTAATCGTAACATAAAATACAAACGCAATGCTGTATACAGAAGTAACTAGTTACAAAAACACAGAACACCTAGAGCTGCCCCGGATATGACAGATGCCATACAGAGATTAGTTGGCATCGCAATTGAAGTGGGCAGCCAAGTCCTGGCGGATATTAGAGCCGGGACAGACCCCATAACAGCCATAATGAAGGCACTAGCACAACTACTGGCTCGGCACTACGGTGGTGTCGTGTAATCCGGACAACCTGCGCCTCCTATACTGGAATCCGGACGGAATACAGCAGAAGCTAAATGAACTCCGCACTATCGCCCAACAACAGGACATCCATGTAATATTGTTGGGCGAAACAAAACTGCGACCAACCACGCGCATAAAGCTGCCGAATTACTTTGTATACAGGAGGGACGAGGTCAACGCTCACGGAGTCGCCTACAGAGGCACGGCGGCTCTGGTAAGAAGAGACATCGTCCACCTAGAGCTGGAACCACCTCATTATCAAACTATGCGCTCAATCGGCATAAAAATGGAGGCGGCGGGCGAGGAACTAAGGATTTACGCAGCATACCGCCCGCCAGGGACTCCATTTTGCTCCTCAGACATCTGGACAATAATGGAAGGTGAAACACCTACCATTATAGCAGGGGACCTAAACGCAAAACACCCGGCATGGGGATCAAGAACGATCACACCGCCGGGTCGTGCACTCTATGATGATGCGGAACATAACAGCTACGACGTATTAGGTCCCGAAGAGCCGACGCATATTCCAACTGATCACCGGAGGAGTCCGGATGTGTTGGACATCGTGCTCACTAGGAACATCAACTGCCCGATAGTGGTAGAGGTGTTGTACGACGTGAACACACAGCACCTCCCGCTATTAATCACCTTAGGCCTCAGGGCAGTGACGGCGCCTCCCAGAGCTTTTAAGACCAAGATCAACTGGAGGCTCTACCAACAACATCTATTGGAGAGACCTCCAGTTACCTCACAAATCAACACAGCGGACGACGTAGAGGCCGCTGCATCCAGAATAACCCAAACGATCACCGAAGCCCTCAACGCGGCCTCTACGGTCGTACCTCTTACTAAGAGAAAGGAAGAATTACCGCCAAACATAATGACTCAATGGAAGAGGAAAAGAGCGCTAAGAAAGCTCTGGGCGCGCACGCGCTGCCCCAGAATCAAAACACAACTGAACAAACTATCGGAAGAGCTGTCGGTTGCAATACAGGCCCACAGAGGAGAGGCCTGGGAGCGGCGCATATGGAAAGCAGATGAGGAAGACGCGTCGCTCTACAAATTGAACCGGCAGCTAACAAAAACAAAATCACCCGTTTGCGCACTTATAAACAGCACAGGAGAGAAGTGCTATGAGGCCAAGGGAAGAGCGGATATCCTAGCTGAGCACTTCGAGAAGCAGTTTATGCCGAATCCAGCAAGTGCGGAGTTCATAGAGCTTCATGCCCAAAAGGAGAGCCGCGTACAGGAGTTCCTGTCGTCGCCCGCGCCACCGCTTGCAGGAGAGTGGTTTATTTCCCCCGCTGAACTGCGGAGGCCAATTGCCCGCCTGCAACCGAGGAAGGCGCCGGGGCACGACCGGATCACGAATGCAGCACTACGACAGCTGCCGAACAGAACAATTGTAGAGATTGGGAGACTCTACAACGGCATTCTGCGGACTTTCCACTTCCCGGAGAGCTGGAAAATAGGCAAAATTATTGTCTTGCCTAAGCCCGGGAAGGACAGGCGTAGAGCAGCTAGTTACAGGCCGATAACGCTGCTACCGCACATAGCCAAATTATTTGAGCGAATCATATTAAGAAGAGTCCGCCCGTGTATACAACTTAGGGCGGAACAACATGGATTTCGGAGTGGACACTCCACAGCTACACAGCTGACCAGAGTGCTGCACCTGTTAGCGGCCGAGTACAATTTCGAGAGAACGTCAGTGGGCGTCTTCTTGGATATAGAGAAGGCGTTCGACAGGGTGTGGCACTCTGGACTACTCTATAAGATGATACAACAAACGAGTGTCCCTCCTGCTATGCTGCGGCTAGTGGCGTCGTTTCTAGCCGACCGGAGCTTCTACGTCTGTGTCGAGGATGCCGAGTCCGCAGTCAAGCCAATAAGAGCCGGCGTACCTCAGGGCAGCTGTCTCTCGCCGATCCTGTACGCGGCTTATACGAATGATATACCAACACTCGCTGGACACCTGCAGGAATGGGAGGACGACGTAGAGTTGGCACTATATGCGGATGATAGTGCCTACTTCACCTCGTCCAGAAGAACCCATATTGCTATTGCCAAGATGCAGCGCCTGCTGGACCTGCTGCCACCATGGTTGGACGAGTGGAGGATGGCTGTGAATGTGGGGAAGACGGCCGCTCTACTCACCCGCCGATACAGGAAGCCACCACCACCATTGAAGCTAAGAGGCCAAGAGATCGCGTATCAGAAGGCTGTAACCTACCTTGGGTGCCGGATAGACAGGATGCTGCGCATGACCGCGCACGTCGACATCGTCGTCCGCAATGCCAGATGTGCGCGGGCGATGCTCCGTCCAGTCCTGGCATCCAAATTACCAAGGAAAACCAAGATCAAGATATACAAGCTCTACATAAGACCGAAACTTACATACGCCGCTCCGGCCTGGTACGCGCTCTTGAGCAGCAGACAAAGGCAGCGGTTGCAGGTCCAGCAGAACCTATCACTAAGGACAATTGTCGGTGCAGGTCGCTACGTCCGGAATGACGTCATAGCGGCCAACCTAAAAATGGAATCCATAGAAGAGTTTGTGGTCCGGTTGTCACGCGGTATGTTTGACCGCGCTGACAATGGACCACATCCACATCTCAACAACTTTGCGCCGCTACACACCCGCCCCCCGGACGGGCGACCTCTGCCAAGAGAACTCCTCTCTACAAGTGATTAGAGAGTTGAGTAAAACCCTCAATGCCGCAGATAGGCCAACTTAGACGCCTTGGCCGTATTAGCCGCCCCCATGGCGACTTACCCGACCAGGCAAAATTGGATAACCACAGGCCGAATTAGGCGCCTTTTTCAGGCTTAGGCCGAATTAGGCGCCTTTTTCAGGACCAGGCCATATAATACGCCTTTTTCAGGCTGTTTCACAAAAATTTAGAAGACCCACAATGCCAGATTTTATCGGCTCCCAATGACCGGCCCATAGAAATGGGCCGTGAGGAAAATCCGGGTTATGGGGAAGATGCCCCGAGGCCCGAGACCTGTTGGGTGTAGTACACCTCAGCAGATGACAACGTAGTAGTTACAAAAATAAGCAGAGAGGAGGACAACTGATCTAAGAAACATTTATCTTCGATACCTGTGCTGGTCAAACATGATTTTTTGTCCTACTTATTCACCGCCCTAACAATAATATAAATCATTTTCCATCCTTGTCACATAAACCCTATTGAATGTAGCAGGTAGCTCTACTTGGATTTAGGACCGTCGCAAAACGGTCGCAAAATTCAAACTCTCGAGTTATGCAATTAAGAACAATAATTTTAATGTCAATTTGTAAGTAATATTCTTAAGTATTAGGACAGTATTAAAAGATTTAGTATCAATGTGCTAGTTTTTGAAGCTTGTTGAGAAAAATGAAATTGCTGCATTGATGCATTGTTACCATCTTGCCTCTAATGTAATTATAGTACAAGGTCTACATATTATCCTTCAAAGTGGAATTCAATGTTTATTTCTACTTAGCGGCAAAATTACACAATGCCTACTCAGACAGTTCCCTAGTAAAATATTAAAAAAGGTAAGAAGAGAGTATGATGTTACCCAGATCGACGTAGAAGTTGTACTTGAGCGAGGGCTGGTGCGCGGCGTGCGTGTGTGCGTGTGCGTGCGTGTGTGCGTGCGCGTGCTCGTCGGTGTTGCGCCGCGAGCGCCGCGAGCGCCCGCGACTCGCCGCCGAACTTTCCGACGCTTTTCGGGAACGACTCGCTGTTAAAAATAGTACACACTTTCGTAAAATAAAATGTATTAACAAATAATATAATAGGACGGGATAAGGAACGTCAACTTTCAGTAAGGTACAACTTTTTTAAATTAGATACATAAAAAACCCAAATCGTTGAACTAGTCTTAGAAAATGAATCATTCACAGTCACATTTATCAGGTTTATTATTTCAGTCAATTTTTTTGTAGTTTTCATTTCCGTTAAAAATTTGATATGCTTTTATTTCAATTTTCTATTTACTGTTTTAATTTTAATTAATACCACTACGCCTTTAAGGCGACGTTGCCTTTTTTAAACCTTTGCAAATTAACTAATTATTATACAAAAACAAAATTATTTTATAATTATTTAATATACGGACAAGTGATGTATAAAGACAGATCCAGATATTCGAAACCGTGTAAAAGATAGTATGTAAAATGACAAGGCTTATTATTTTTGTCTTGATGCAAATAATATTTTATAAAATCGTTTTTATTTTATTATATGTTAAAACTAATTAAAAACAGCACCAAGCCAGGTCGAAACATCTTTGGCAAGTGAGATAACGTTTTTTACGTTTTTACGAGCGGGAGGTGAATAGAGACGATGCCATTTTCAATCCGATTCTTCAACCGCATGGGTGATAGTAGATAATGTTTTACTTTACAAGATTTGCTAGATATCCTACTCATCCCTGAGCAAATTATATTTCATTGCTTTAACGACGAGCAAAGTTTGATCGCCCAAAGTCAGTAGAGAGGAAAAGATAACTCACGATGAGGTTTATCCATGTCGTGTGCGGGCGAGCCTTGCCCGTGCGCGTCCTCGTCGTCCTCTTTGCGTTCCGAAGGACTGTCACGTTCCGATATACGCCGCTCTCTGTTATAAATTACAAAGAATTAGTAATAAGCATTTAAGGAAAATGTGATAACTTACATGTTAAATATTGTACTTGAAAAATACATATTTAAGAGTATTTTTAACACTTTTATGTTAAGGCGCAGGTTGAACAAAATGTCGCGCTAGTCGTTATTTGTGCGGTTTTAGAAGCTATCTACTTTTTATTTAAGAGATACATCAACTAATAAAAAACACATTATATTTCTACATAATCTTGATTCCATAAAAGTTATATCCAATTTTTTTTAAAGGAATATATATTAAAATAATGTCCTTACAACGAAACAACATAAATGTGATATAATTATTGATAACATGCATGTCCTCGTAAAGTAAATATTATTTTATTTTGCGATTTACACCAATGGATAGGCAATTTATTAAGAAATTATTTTAAAAACTGGGCGTATTCACTGCCCACGGGCTTGCTGGAGTCAGTGGGCGCCAAGCTCTTGAAGGTGAAACCCGTGTCGTGTGTCACGACGTCAGCCAGCGCACATGCTCGCTGACGTCATCTTATCAATCGATAATTTTATTATTACTTACTAGGTTATTTATAGGTAGTATTATTTGTTTGTTTTGGGTATAATTTTTCGTATTAATTATACATATATTTGTTGTGTTATTTACTGCGCGATGAAGCTTTTTGCGTGTATTTTCTTTGAAGTAAATGCAAAAAAAAAAAAAATGAAGCACCATTAGCATGTAAGGTTCGAATCCATAATTAACATTTCGACAAATATTATAATTTACACTATAAAAGGCTAATTCAATATTATCAGTATAGTATACAGTTAAAAATAATCCTAATACCCAACCACAATATCTTATTAGGTATAGTACTGCCTCGTTGGTCTAGTGGTCGTAGTAGTGCGACTGCTGATCATGAGGTCCCGGTTTCGAATCTCGGGTCGGGCCAAAAAGTCAGTTATGAGTTTTTCATTTATGTTCTAAGTTATAATTAGTATTACTAAGTTAGTTTTTTGCAAAATATAGTATATTATTTATTGCTTGCTTTTTCTTCTTTTTCAAAAAATAATTGAGTACATAAGGTGTTCTTAATATACGCCGAATGTCAGAGAGAAAAGCTAGTACATCTTTTGCTAAACTTTAAAATCTAAAACCAATTTGAAAACAGACGAATTGATCATAACTCCCTTAGCTATAAAATAAGTTATGATCTAATTAATGGTATTTATTCCAGTTTATGGCAGCCCTGATTTATATTACGTGGCTGAAATTAGGTACTTTTTATTAGGTACGTTAAACCAAATAATAGCGGGACGGCTGACATTATGCAATCCATACATTTCTTATATCTAATTACAGCCCCATTAATTTCCACTAAAAGAAAATAAATAACTTGTAAATTCAAACAAAAATAACTGCATTACTATATCTATAGTCATATTCATACAAATCAAAAAGCCTATATATGAGATAATGTAAAGTAAGCATAATTTTACCGGGATCATAACTTGTCAAATAATTAGGAAAATGATCGTTTTTCGTTGCGTACGTGTTTTGATTTTAACACTGTTAGGTTTAAAACTGCGAGGTAATATTTGAATAAATATACTTTCCTCTAGGTACAAAGAATTTTTTAGATGACAATATTTGTAGTTAAGACTACTAGAAATCTTATTTATGGAGCAAAAAGGCGAAAAGACTGGAATTAGGGGCATGACTGGTATTAGGGGCTTCCAACCTAATTCGGTAAAAAGTATCTAAGTAGGTATTAATATAGCTACTTTTTACTATAAACTAAAATTTTTTAAAACTAAATTTAACTAAAAAAAAAAACTTAACTGACCATTTATTTTTTAACTCGAAACATGACATGGAAAAACTATAATTTTATACAATTAGTGTTCACTATAAAATTATATTCGGTATAGACGGTAATTATTAAATGCAACATTTTTTTAAAATTATTAATTACATTTGTCAGTGGATTAAATTTGCTTTAATAAAGTTGGTGATGATTTTAAATAAGAATAAAATTCTGCTCAAGTTTTTTTATTGTTACCTTTGTTAACAACATCGCCTTTAGAACTGGAACCGTAAGTGTTTTTTTCAGACGTCCACAATTTATTCAAAATAGAAAAATACTCTTTCTACTGGAGCATTTGTACCAGGTAGACATAAAATATATTCGATTAAAAAAAATTATGTTGAAGATTGTTGACTTTGAATACTTCCATCCAACGAGTTACGGGACAATTTTGTGTCCCGGAGCTTTGCTTGGGGACAATGGGACAGGTGACCGAGAAAAGGGACAGTCCCGTTCAAAACGGGACGTATGGTCACTTTACCTATAACCCTTATACTTCTTGTTGATTTTTGTATTACCTTTATTAAAGTTACCCTTATGTATAAATAAATATAATTACGTATGTAGAAATAAAATTGAATAAAAATAAAAACAAACATGTTTTTTTAAATTCTCATCAATCATGGGGGTAAGGATAATGTCAGGCAGCATAAGTAATAAGCATAGCTATAACCCGGCGACGGCTCCGTGGCGCAGTGGCTTAGCAATCAGTTGTTGCGCTGGGGGCCGCGGATTCGTATCCCGCACGGAACAAGTATTTCTATGGCCTACAAATTAATAATTGTTCCGGGTCTAGATGTTTGTCCTTGTGCAATTTATGTTTGTAAACTGTACAACACAGGAGAAAATCCTAGTGTGGGGGTAACGTTTTTTTAAAATTGAAATTTTCAATTTCAATTTTGTGTCCCGGAGCTTTGCTTGGGGACAATGGGACAGGTGACCGAGAAAAGGGACAGTCCCGTTCAAAACGGGACGTATGGTCACTTTACTTATAACCCTTATATTTCTTGTTGATTTTGATATTACCTTTATTAAAGTTACCCTTATGTATAAATAAATGTAATTACGTATGTAGAAACAAAATTGATTTTCATCCTCATCAATCATTGGGGTGTGGATAATATCTGCCAGCATAAGTAATAAGCAGGCTAAGTTACAAGGTGCTCAGTTCAAAAATTAGTAGGTAGGTATGTTACTTTTCAATACGTGACACGTAAAAATTAACAATAATCAAAAACACATCTGCGAACCATCCTATTTATTTATTTATTCTTTATTGCACCAAATATTTGTACAAAAGGTAAGCTATCTATTTATTTACCTATAGTGAGTAGGTATCTTTTAAACTCACAATGTTTCAATGCTTCATTTTTAATATATAATTAATTATAAATTTCATAATTAGATAACATATGAGAATATATAAATCGTTGTACGCTGTGTATATTTCCATATTTAAAATAGTTTATTGATGTTGAAAAAATAATACTACGTTCGTACAATAGGTGGCGCCTTACATATTTCTTACGCAATATATTGTAGCGAGTCGGCGAGTCGGCGCGCCGGCCGAATGCTCAAGGTCGTTCGCATGGAGTAGTAGCCCCTTAAACAATTTTCTTAAAACGTCTTCCATTCAGTTTGTGATTAGTGTAAACATAGGAATAAGATGAAAAACCAGAAAACAGGGACGAAACGGGTTGTAAGTCGTGTGTAAAGACCTATTTTTTATGTAGTTTTTTAGCACGTATAATTTTCTTTTACGCGTTTCTATTTAAAATAAAAACAATTTAAACAAAATGTATTTTAGTTTGGTTTTTGCACTTCCCTCACACCTTTGAACTTATTGTGCAATAACCAAACTAAAATACATTTTATTTAAATTGTTTTTCTTTTAAATAGAAATGTAAAATTACACCTGATGATAAGTAGATGCTGTTCTCCACAGACACATCTAACCCAGATTTATAATGAAATACAGATACGTTGTCACCCCGGAGGACTAAGATGGAATGCCTCCTTTTCAGTAGAATAGAATAGAATAGTTTTTATTCAATATAAATTATTACATAATACTTATTGAAAGTCATTTTTTATTTATCATTGGTTCGGAAAATATCTATGTCCTGGGAAGAAACCAGCAAGAATCTCTTAATTCCCAGTGGCTGTTTCCATTCATGTATTCCTCGATATTATAATAACCATTTTTGTACAACTTTTCGTTGTTAAAACTTTTAAACTTGTTTATAGGCAAACTTTAAAAAATTTCTGAGATTTTGTAGAAAAAGCGTATACATTGCCCCATAAATGAATTACTAATTCTGTGAAGTCTAACTAGCAAAAAATAAAAAGTAAAGAGTCTCCGGACTACGTTAAGCAGTAGCCGTTGATAGTGTAACGAATGGGTGTAATGAATGGTCCTGTCGGTTGGGGTTGGTGTGGTGGTGGTGGTGCTGGTGCTGGTGGTGGTGGTGGTGGTGGTGGTGTGGTGATGGTGGTGCTGGTGGTGGTGGTAGTGATGGTGGTGGTGGTGGCGGTACCGGTGCGGGGAGAGATCGAGGCTGCTGTCGGGCGTGGTGGGCGGCGTGTTGTCCAGCAGCGCGTGGCGCCGCGCCCACGGCGCCGCCGCACCCTCCTCTGCCCCGCCGCCGCCACCGCCGCCCCCGCCCCCGCCGCCGCACGCGCCCGCCTCGCGTGACCCGCCCATAGCCCGTCGCTCTTCAGCTAACGTAAACATAAAAACACTAAAGCAACCAAACACTTCTATGTATACTACAAGACGAGCACTATGGCACTAAAATAGAATAGAATAGAATAAAATCATATTCAATATGAATTTCAAGGATATGCACTTATTGAAAGTCATTTAAACTTTACCACTGGTTCAGAAAAAAAACCTCTGTCCTGGGAAGAACCAGAAACACAGAGGGACTTTTTTAAACTTTTGGATGTATAGATCCTACACATTTTCTCATCATGATAAAGCTTATTAAACAATTTCGCTTAGTAAAATTTTTAAACTTTGTAATAGATAGAGCAACATGCATTAATCATTAACCATGATGATCCTAGTGAGAATACTAGTCAGTATTTCACACGTCGCTTCTAGCTACGCTCGATCTGTGTAAGGTGCACAGAATCTAAGCATTGTTTGCTCCTTGGTTATGTTAGTTATTTACAAGTACCCTGTATATTGTATTATCTTTATTGTTAGAGATAAAAATTGCTTAAAAATGTATACTTACGATTGAATCGTTTGAGTGAAATGATTCGATATATTAGTGTACGCCTAGGATAAGGTTATTATTTGTTTGTATGTATTTAAACTCTCTCGTGTAAGTGAATAATTGTAAATTCTTATGAGAAATAAAGATATATCAAACCGGTAGCGAAGCCACCATAGAAGCCAAGAAACCCGACTTGCCCTACCAAACTGCTCAATCAATAATATCAACTTATAAAGAATTTCCCTCAAATTTCAACTTATAAATTATTTCAAATTTCCCGCACGCTCCTCTCTTCTACACACGTCATGACATGACCTTATTATGTAACGTCAACACTCGGCAGATTGCATTACTGTGCGATACTGCTGTCATAAAAAAGGAGTTGAGTTAAACGATTAATCGTCTCTCTCGCACACGTGGGCTTTTACCAGGCTTTCGAGAAGACGATCGCTCCCTTTCTAACCTGTGGCAAAATGTTCTATAATGAAATATAACTACGATTGTTTATAGTTGGTAGTAGGTGGTAGTAGTAGTACGTAGTAGAGCCATGCTGCACCTATATTAGTAGTATAGAGTTGTAGCAAGAATGGGTCGGCTTGACCGGGGAAGGACCACGCTCTCACAGAATACCAGCGTGAAATAGCAGCTTAACACTGCTGTGTTTCGTATGCTAAGTGTAGAGAACCGGAGACCCTTTTTACTGGAAAAGAGGCATTCCATCTTAGTCCTCACGGGTGACAAGGCATCTGCATTTTGATTCGCAAACGAGGATAGATGTAGATGTCTATGGGCTACAGCAACCACTTACCATCAGGTGGACCGTGTGCTCGTTTGTCACCCTATCCTATAAAAAAAAAATATAGCAATTAGTACGGAGTGATAAGATATGAAGTTAGTCGAGCGCAGTGCAACTTCACTTCACATTTCAATGTTTACTCTGTGTGTTTATTGCGAAACTATGGAATTAATATTGGGTTGGGATTTGAAAATTTATGTTTTTACAAAGATTTTTAGTGAAAATGGAGGATAATAGTGTTCCTTGTGATGAAGTGTGTTAAAGTGCAAATCGGCAAGGAAAAGGTAAAATTTTTAAAGTTTATTGGGAAAAAACAGAGCATATCTACATAAACAGTTATTGGTACAATTAAAACGTTCACCAACATTTCACGCAGACGTAATCAAATCTTTCTTTAAGAAAGAGAGACGATTCGATTTGGAGTATAAATATATTTTTTTTAATTTTGTACAATGTTTGTACTTTGATCATGCTCTTCTTTTGTTCATGTATTGTATTGTATGTAAATATCTTTTTCTTTCGCTCAAACAAACCGAAACGGCTTTTTTCAAAGCCACCGAAGGTATGCATATAGTCATACAATCTATCTAGCAGTATTATGCCTTCTGTGTGCTTTGTTAAACACGTCCTCGACAGCACTGAATATGAAACTGAAGAGTAGAGACAGATTAAGATTGGTGTATTTTTATAAAACTGCTAAAACAACAAAACCATATCTTGGGCTTGCCCTAGTTTGGAGCCCTAGCTTCGCCACTGTCTCAAACCTATTTAAACACAATCTAGTCTAAACTCAAAAACAACAATATCAAAATTTCAGTCTAGTCCATTCAGAAATTTTGACATTATGAAGTTTGAACCCGAGATTGTCTCTGGATACCAATTTTAGAATCTATCGGTGACGAAAAAAATGAAATTATTGTATTGCCATCAAATGTCTGCAAAACTAAATTATGCTGGGTGAAAATTAAATTATAAATTCTTACATACAAATATACAACAAATTTAATAAAAACATATATGAGTTAAAACAAAAAACTTAAACAATACACATTGCTGTTACAACCCTAGAGAGAATATTTGATTTAAATTATGAAATAATCGTTTTCATCAGTTTCAAGCGGCTCAGACACGAAACGCTGTGTTGTGCAGCGAAATACGGTCCTGCTGTTACCTTTAGAGTGCGAGTGATGCGGCGGCGCGCAAGCGAAGGGCAGCGTGTGCTTGTGGCGCGGCGGCGCGGGCTCGGCGTCCGGCGCCGGCGACCCGGGGATGGTCTCCTCGCACAGCAACAGCGATATGTTGCTGTCCTCTTCTGCTCCGCCAGCGCAACTCACTGTGCCCGCGGCAGTGCTCGCGCCCGCACGACCACTGCCCGCTACAACAACGCTCGCACCTGCATCATCGAACTAACATTACATCTAAGCCTCTAAACAAATACTCTAATGCCATACCACAGATGATTGTAATTTGAAAATTAAAATACATGTGTGTAAACGGCCAATAGAAACACACATGTCCATTTATATTAAGAAAGTTTTTGCCAAAAATACGTACCAGTAAATGACGGCATAGTTTATTCTTGTCAAATAGAGCTATTTAAAAATGTACAAATTAAATATTTGTGTAACATGTAAATATTTATAATAACTGATGGCACATAGAGCAACAGCAGCTGCGACTTCTGCATATATGAGTGAACATGGTCACACTGGGGTCCAAGCCTCATTCTTGCCCGAGGCTACTCAAGCAAAACCTAGCGACATGTGGAATCGGACGTTGAAGTACTTACTGTGTTTTCTCTCGTTCTTGCACGCGTCCTCAAGCATGAGCAACGACTCGCCAGCACTCCATTCGCCCGGCGACTTGCCCGCGTGTAGCGCACGAGCCCCCACTGCCTCCGAACTCCCTCCACTACCCCACTCCTCCATCGATACTTTGTCGATTATCAACCTAAATAAATAAGAAATGAGGAGTTATATAAAGGAAATCATATAAAAAAGAAGAAAAATAATCACATTTTTTTGATAACGAAGTATGTACTATTTTTAAGATTAATGATGTGAGTGGGCTGTGCTGACCAGGATCTCGTTAATGTATGCTATTTAAATTATGTTAAATCAGATCAACAATAAAGATTGACAAAACACTAAGTTAATTTCTTGTACCACAATTTATTGTAAGAATACGCACTCACGCACACACATATGCACCTAAAACTATGTTGTTGCTTGCAAATTATTACAAGTACATATTTGTGCATGTTCTTATAAGTTGAGAATGGTTTCGGCATCACTTAAAATGTACGCATTGGTCTATCATTCTTTGTTGGTCTGGACCATAACATACTCGTACTTACATGCACGTGTAAGTACACGTATAAGTACGCGTACCACTATCATCTACCATCATGCGGACTGTATGCTCATTTTTCACTCTTATTATATTTATTTTTCATTATTTTGCATGGTACACTTGGCTATTTTTTTTTATATAGTAGAGGCCAAACGACCATGCAGCTCACCTGATGGTAAGTGCAGACCGCAGTCCATGAACATCTGCAACACCAGGGGATTTGCAGGTGCGTTGCCAATCTCTCAAAAAGGAATAAGTAAGCTCGTTTCTTGAAGGTCCCTAAGTTGTATCGATCCGAAATATTCGCCGGTGGTAAGCAATTCCACAAAGTCGTGAGAGGAAGAAAACTCCTATATAGTAAATCGTACAGTAGTGGACCGCCACGCATCCTGATGATGTGGATGGATGGTAACGATGACGAGTACAATTAATCAGCCAGTGAAATGTTATAGACTGACAACATTATATACCAAGATTGACAAGTTATAAAGGAACGAATTTTAAAAAACATTTGTTCTAAACTGAGACATAATTTGATAGGGCTTACTCACCTCCTGTCGGAATCATCAGAATCGCTAGACTCACTCCTGTCTCCGGGCGGAAACGGTGGTAGTGGAATGATGGCAGCTGATTGGTTAATCTGGCTCGAAAGCTTTTGTATGGTGTCGCTGAGGACTTTGTTATTCTTCCCGGGCGCACCAAGAGGCAAATCCGCGACACTCTTTCGTCTTTCCAAGATATTGAGTGGACTTTGTAGTCGGGGAGGTGTTGGTTCCTTGGTCTTAATTTTTTTGATATCAGAGAGATCACGTTTCAAATCTGTAAAATTTGAAGGTTCACCAAATATGGGATCAGTCATGGGAAGCGGGCTGATTTTTTTTATTGGCTCATTTTTACTTAACGGTTTTAATGGTTCAACTTTAGTTAGCGGCTTAAGTTCGGGCGATATGGGTGTCGGTTTGTCTTCTTTTGCAATAACAATATCTTTGTTCGGCGAAACAGGTCGGTCTTCTACTGGCGGAGGAGACATAGATAATCTTTTAGCACTGTTTATAGCTTTAAGTAGCTTTTCAGCAATTTTAGGACCTTCTGATTGCAAGAGGAACCCAGGTGGTGGCTCTGGAAGGACGTCGATTCGCGCGGGGCTATCTGGTTCGGATTTATCCTCTTCAGTGTCTATTAAAGGACTAGATGGTGGTTCTAATTTTGATATAACCGGATCTGGATCAAATTTGTCGATTTTTGATTTTGAGCTTTCATTGGGTTCTATAGTTGGAAGTGGGACCACCAGTACTTTGACCTCTTCCTTTTCAGGTGGAGTTGTTTCCTTCGTTATTTCTTCGACAGGTTCAATTGATGTAGTTTCTTCGTCTGATTTTGAAGAGGTTACATCAATACTTGTACCAGGTCCATCCAGTGTAATTTGTAGAGGTGGTGTTTTAGGCGGTTCAAGTATATCATTTGATTGTTGTTCAGTCAGGAGAATAACCACTTCTTCTTCTACAGGCTCAGCGATTTGTACTTCTTCTTTTATTGGTTCAGGTACTTCTGGAACTTCCATAATTGGTGCTTCTATACTAGGTTCGCTTTCTTCTTTCATTTCTTCAGGTTCGTCTTCAGAAGACTGCTCATCATCTGCCGGACTATCAGGTGAATCATCAATCAACTCCCTTAATTTACTGACTTTGCTCTTTTTAGAGTATGTTTCTTGATTTTTAGCTGGTGTGAATCCTTCAAAAATGGGCCCAGAGCTGCCGTCACCTGGGAACGAATCATCGTCTAGCGAGAACAGACCGTCTTTGGAATCTTCTTCAGGACTCTGTCGTTCAGGTACATCTCTAGTCGCACCAAAATCTCTAAAAGGCGATAAAGATGGAGATCTAATCGCAGAAACTCTGGGCCTTAACGGGTCTTCGGAAATTTCTTCACTCAAAGACTTTGACAAGGTAGATGTATATTTGCTGGGTGAAATATCGTCGAATATACGATGCAAACGTTTCTTTTTTTCATCGTGCAATTCCAGTTCAAAAGGTTCGGGTTCTTTAAATTCGTACACATCTTCTGGTTGTTTTTCTGGCTGTGGAGGCTCAGATGGTTGAACTGGCATTTGAATAGGGCTTGGCGTTTTTTCTTTCTGTATCTCTTGTTTGATGGGTTCCTCTGGTTCCTGTTTGACACTATGCAGTCCTTTCAGTTCCGATCGGATTTCATTAAGGTCATAGTCCCTTCCTTGATGACTAGAGACGTTGATTCGAGGTTTCTTAGCAGGGGAAACCATTGACGGAGTAGATACTGTTCTTACAGGCCTCTTGCGAGGTTTACTTGAACCACTGCTATCGCTTGATTTTGCATCCTTAGATCTGGGCGGAGCTGTAAAGGCAAAATTATAGTATAAATATTTATTTAGCTGTTTTTGTGGGGGCTTTATTTGAAAAATTATTATAAAACTTACTTTTGACGCCGGATTTGTCATCAGGTTTTTTCGTTGACGGTTTAAGGTCGTCGTCGCTGTCAGAATCACTATCAGAATCAGAGCGAGCTGAAGATTCTATAAAAGAATACATTTGCAATGGACATGTTAATAATGCACAATACCTTTTATCGAGAATTAAAAATTAACTATTGCTTACCTTCAGTTCTCTTCGTTCTTAATCGGCGGCTCAGACTTGTATTCTGAAATAACAAAATTATTGACTAAAAGATTATACTATTAAGTAAATCAAAATAAAAAATAAATAAAAAACTGCGGTTACCAACCCGCATGCCAAGCGTGTCAACTATGGCAAAATCCCCCCTATGAGGCAATCTATAGGGGAGTCCTATGTTCAGCAGTGAACTTTTATAGGTTGTAATGGATGGATGGATGACTATTAAGTGATACAACAACTTAAAGAGGATGCACAAACTTGTCCTCCAAATCAAACTTAGTCATTTCAAACCCTGTGTGGGGTGTAGATCCTTCCAAGATTGCAAAATAACATAGGAGTTTTCACAGAGTTGCCCATAATCACCTCACCGTACGACCGTACAGGCGGATCAACTGGTCATCAGAGACTCATCCATCAATGATCAGGATGCCGTGTGCAAGTATTGTTAAAATTTAAAAAAGTAAGCATATTTCTTCTTACAACCATTTTACATACTAGATACACTAGGGCACCAGCCCCTGAGAAAACTGGATATTGAATAAATTGTAGTTAACGCATTATGTATTGGGACAACAAACAAATACATATTATAATGACACAAATCATATCACACAAATTAGTGTTCTAGTATTGTGTGGATTTATTGTATGCATACAAATCATTTTTATTACATAGGATAGAAATACGAGGAAATAGGAAGATGACCACTAATATTTCATGCACGAATTACACAATAAAAAAAATATGTTTACATGAAGTTTCTTTTTTATTTTTAGGTTGCCAGTAACAGTTTTCTCATATACATGGAACTTTCCCATTCTAGACTCCCCCATCGCTTCTTAGAACACCCACGAGACGGAATGGGGTGACAGAATTATACAATGCCACATGACAAAGAAGTTACGTAGAAGTAAGAGAAAGAACGAAGTTTATATATTGTTTTAAACAAATGTAGGCCTACAATAGTGGCACTGTACAAGCATCCTAACCTTCGAAAGTAATAAAACTAGATACGTCCGCCACGTTGCGCCACGCAAAAAATTAGTGATTGTGGTCACCTTCTTGTTGTGTGCGTCGTGCTGCGTGACGTTGAGCGCGATGCGCTGCGGCTTGATCCACTCGTCGTAGCGCGTGTTCCAGCCCGTGTAGTGCACGCGCAACATGCCCTCCGCCGATATCTCGATCACCTTCGCCTCGTACGTCACCTGCACACACAAGTAAAAGCAAACTTAGAGATTGTATCGCCCTTTACCCATGAATTTGCCATTTTGAATGCAATAATTGAATTCGAATGATTAATCATCACATTAGTCTAAACCAGTGATGGCGAACCGTTTAGAAGTGAGTCAAATTCAATCCATTATTTTACTAGTACTAGCTTGTGGGTCACTAAGTCAGTGGCGTAACATGGAAAAGGAGGACGGTTGACATGGAGGACGGTTAAAAACTACTTTTTACGGTTCTCGTTCTTAATAATCCTCTATAAAAGTATTAATTTGCACTTTGTTTAACAACTATTACTCTTGCAATCGAAGAGGAAAAAATAAAATCGAAGTAAAAAAAAATATTGATTAACATTTGATAACGGTATCAGGTGATCACGCCTAGTGGCACCCCTGGACTGAGTATTTGTATGTAGAGGATCAAGAAAATCACTTAATAATATATATTAAGAAATATTACTTAATTATAGATATTATAATTACAAGTATATGTACGTAAAATAAAGTTAAGGATTTAGAAAATCAGCTAGCTAACGTCCACTTGGAAATATTATTTTTTAGCATTAGATACATATTATATATCATTCTTAATATTTTTGATTGATTGTCTGATATAAACATAAGTTTATAACAATTAACCCATGTGTCATTTAAAGCCTGCGTGTGTCAGTATCTGACCTGTGGTACATAGGTTTGCCATCACTGACCTAAACTATTAACACATTATTGCCATTTTTGGGCAGTTTCTTGATGCCCTTGATTTAAAGGCGTTCTTTATGGTTTATTCAGAAAAACTTATGTAAACTTCGATAAACGTGGAAATCTGTTGGGTCTAAAGAATATGGCGAATGTAGAATGGTTTCTAGCTTTAGCTCTGCTAATTTTGCCAACAACTTGTGTAGTTTGCATGTGGCCAGGTGTTGTTGTGAATAAGCAACGGCTAAGAGCTATATATAGTAAATAACACCAAAAGTAGACCATTTAAGTGTCATCCATAAGTTTCTTCTGACAAATCTTTGGTTTTCATGCATTATTTGACTTGGGCACCTGGATCTTACCACTGTGTTAAACGCTCGCAGTTGTCGTGTAATATCCACTTCTTATTGCAGGTAAAAATTCGACTCAAAATTCCCTCCTTTGCATTCCTTTCAGCATTGCAAGCTAGGACGCGGGCACCTCGCTGTGTATCACTCAGTTCGTCATGTATCTAATGTGAAATTTGCCGCAAATGATCTAATATTGTATTGACACTTATAAGCTGACGTGATCTCTGCCCCCGATTGAGTCGGATCCGTCCACTATCAACTTCAGCCTCGTCATTATCAACCTCTTCATATCATATCTATAATATGTATATAATATCATCCGGAAGACCATGAGGATCATTCGAGAGATCACAATTACCCAACAAAGGTTGATGGTATAACATGCCTTAAATACAAAAATAACAAGTAAATTCTACTACAGATCCAAATGGCCAGTTCAACAAAATGGCAATTTCATAGACAAATAATTAATTATAACTACACCTCTTCTTACATGGGAAATATTTTAATGTTGTTAATATTTATATAAAAGGAGTAAATACTTATATATAGTAAAAATGTGTGTAGGCCCGATTTGGTCAGCCCACAACTTCTTATCCGGTGACAAATTTTAAGTTAAAATTTATTTTCTTTGAAACTAAACTTCTAAATCGATTTTAATTATACTTAACAGTAACATATAGGAGAAGTTGGTTTTGAGATGATATTATCATCACTTCAAGACGAAAAACGCACAGGCACACACGTAAGCACACACGCGCTGTCACAAAGCGATTTCAATTGCATTATAGAGCAACCCCGCATTAGTAGTAGTTTAGCGACGATATTATGTAGATTATTGATGCATGCAAGTGGCTTTGAAGTTTGAAAAATGTTGTTTTGTATCTTTTACAGTTAATTTACACCTTCGTCTACAACGACCCTACACCATAGTCCTTCGGTCTGAGAATGTGGCGACGCTGTCGTCGCGCCACAATAGCGTAAATGAACCGAAGACTAAATCACGCTATAGAAGTTTCCGAATCACTCTGCACATATAATATATTATAGGATAAGCTTCGTACAACCACAGGCTAACCACATTGCTCGGTGAGAAATCTCTCCTTTCGATCGACGGCTTAACACTTGCACTGTCCGATTTTCAAACACAACAGTAAGACAATAGCAGTGAACTATATGTAGTACACGGAACAGCGAATGGATCATTATGTTTCTTGAACTGTTTAACAAACTACATACAGCATTATAATTTTCAAATAGCCTTTCTACTTTTGCCTATAAACTGTACCTTTGACTCTGATTGTGTAGGGCCATAATAAACTTTCAGTTTGTCGCCAACTTGCGCCTTTACATTTGCTCCGCTGGAACGAGTTGATTCACTCATCGATGGTCTGCAATTAATCATACATAATCAAAATGATAAATGTATAAATATTTTAATTTAAAAAATTACTGTTATTCTCAATTTTCTAATAAATTTTTTCTCATCAAAAATTCACTTCTAATAATATTTTTTTTTGCCAATATACACTACCCCATATCTTCCCGTGGGTATTGTAAGATGCGACAGAGGGGAAAAAAGGGCAGCAGCGTTTTCCTATTGACTAAAAATAAAACTGGGGTTGCTAACTACATCGTGCCAACCTGTGGCAAATGAAATGGCTATGAGACAACCTATGGCCTATGTTCAGCAGTGTATTTTAATAAGCTGTAACGGTAATATTTTTTTTCAAGTGGCAGCCATATAGTTGGTTATTCAATTTTATATCGTTTCACATTTTACACATTATTATTTATTAAAAAAATACTAACTCTGTACTCTTCCTTTTACGCGGTCTCTTACTGCTGTTGGAGGCGATAGTGTTGCCACTGCTCGCAGAGTTCGCACTCTGACTGCGGCGACTTTGCATTTTCTTTGTTGGTCCGCACCTGCTGTTATTAAATAAATAATTAAGAATGTCATCAAATCTTAAATGTTTTTGTTATTTATGTGTTTTTTTTTTTATTGCTGCTTAGGTAATAATTATTAAATTATTCAAGATTAAGTTGCATATGATCTAATTGTGCATGTCAATGATGAGATGATCGCATATATTATATATATAGGGGGTAGGAATCTTCTATTGTTAAGAAGTTCGGCTGGGTAGGTCCTATTCCTACCGCCAAACAGTGCTGCAGCAGTGCTTGAATTACTGAGTTCCGGTCCGAAAAGTATAGAAGATAAGATAAGAACCAGTGAACCTACAGGCAGTGAGGTGCGACCACGCATCTGTAGCCGTCTTTATTTTAAGTTCGTTGAAGATGTTCTAAACTACAGTAGCCACTTGCCATCGTGTGAACCGCAACTTTATTTTGTCACTTCAAATTTAGAAATAAAAAGCTCAGAGACATCTCAGTGGTTAGGCGTTACTAAATAAATAAACTGGATGATGCTCAAATTTGAAACATGTTTAGTTAAAGAAAGCTGCTGCGAATACAGCAAGTCTCCTTGAACCTATCAATCAGATACCTGCTATATGCTGATGATAAAGTGGTTACCTAGAAGCACGTCCCGAGCTGTCGCTGTCGGTGGAGGCGTGCGGTCGACGCGACGCCCGCGGGGTGCGTGCACTGTTTCCCTCGCCCACTAAAATAATATCACAAGCATAAATTAAAACACATTTCCGGATTAGAACAGAGTTGCAAGTAAGTAATAATAACATTTTCGATAGTTGAAAAATGTGACCTTTTTCCTTCCTTTAAGATGGGTGCTCCGATAGCCCACCCACACATTTTTGTCTGAACGTATAGGTAAACACAGACACTATTTGTTTAAAACTAATCATTTTATCACTTTTCTACACTGAAATGTGCACGCTGTTGAACTTGCAACGACGCCGTTCTTCCTAACCTTGAATTACATGCACTACGTTGAAAGAAGAATAAACGTTGTCAAACTTCGTTCGCTTGTTTGACTGTAATGCCTCCTTTACACCACTCGCGAAGTAACTTTGACGAAGTGCTCGTCGATGTTGATCGCAGTCCGAAGAACGTGACCACTAGTGCTACTTCGCGAAGAGCTCAGTCGTCTTGAGTCTCCCGCACCCTTAACATGAATGACGTTCAAGAGGCAGCTGCTATAGGTACCTAATTGTGTGAACAGTACGACGTCAATGCGTTAACTAAATAAATAATTATGTAGAAAGCTACATATTTAATATTTATATATAAAAAATATTCATAACTGGCGTACGCCGAGTAGTGTAGTGAGACGCTTCGTGTAACTTCGCGAAGTCCTTTGACTCTGGCGCGAAAAACCGACAGCGATCGAAAGTCGCCCGAAGCGAAGCTAGGTTGCACGAAGCGAATCGAAGTACCTCTCTACACTATTCGCTTCGTCTAACTTCGATCTACTTCGAGAGTAGTGTAGAGGGGGCATAATAAAATACATTCTGAAGTATTCTCGATTGTCACGCGATAGGAATTGCGCGCGGAATTACTTGCATATATATCCGGTACATATATTTTTGTATAATTTTCATTGATTCAATATACTGTAATTTATTGTAGGTATAGTAATTAATTATTCAAAATACGCAATTTTATTTTGTGCTAGCACCAACGAAATTATTAATTGCAGCGCAGCGGACATTTTGTTGCCCTATAACAACAATTATTTACTGTATTTTTGTAATAGTTTGTTAAGAATCTACATGATTGTTACATATTTCTTTTTATTTTGTATTTACTATAAAATCAAAGGGTGAAGTAATACTTCATTAGGTAGGTATAACAACCTGCTCAATTCAATAAGCTGCTCTTTAGATTTTTGTTTTACTAAAAGCTTTTGTAGTTATGAGTGCTTTAAAATTAGGAAATATTTTTTCACCATCTTGGTTATTATCGCATACTAAGTCGTGTTTTAGATTTGTTGTTATCTCTTGTTTATGAATAGTTTCTTACGTGTTATGTAATGTCAAATTTTTGTAATAACTGGTGATGTTGCAAATCATCTGTGTAATTAGTTTTGAGTGAATAGGCATGTATCAGCCGTGTTACTTCAAATAATTGATTTAATCAATAATTTCAATAGTGTAAGGTAATAAAATAAAACTGCGTTTTATTCTTCTTAGTGTTGACATAATTTATTTCCTATAATTATTATTGAATTAAATAGCTTACGCCTACAAATATAACTTTTACTTTTATAACAATCGTAAAATACTGGTATTCAGCTGAATCCAGTTTGACTGGGAGCCGACCTCAATATAGTTGGGAAGAAGGCTAGTGAGATGATGAATCGTACATAATATATATCGTTACAAACGTAAAATTTTTTTTATTAACGCCATCTAGTGTTCAATCTTCGTAAACATAGGGACTAGGAAGTCAGCCACGCGTGTGTGTGTAAACGACACTATATTCAATGACAGATGTTATTTTAGAGCTTTGTGTCGAATTGTGTGGATTTTTAAGCAATGATATGACCTAGTACAATAAAGTATAATGTCCGAGTACCGCGGTAGCTACTTCTCGTCTTAATAATGTTCCAATTACACAATAACTCAATAAACTAAAAAAATATTACTTCAGCGCCATCTCGCGGGGAAATGGCCTAGAACAGACCGTATGTTTCACCTATAAGTTTCCTTTTCTTAGTTCGATTTTGTTTTTAGTACTGAGATTTGATGTATTATGTTGTAAGTTTTTATTAGAGAAGGGGTGATAAACGAGCACACTGTTTACAATGAATGCTGCACCTACAACTACCCTCGATTAAGTATCATAACGCAGCTAGGCGTTGTCACACCAAGATAATGCTTGGATACCAGAAAAAGGGATCTCCATTATCACATCACTTACCATACGAAACAGTTGTATTATGCTGCTATTTCACGACGGTATAAGTGCGAGCTAATCCTTCTTAATCCCAAATCCTTCCGAAAAGGTCATAGAGGGTACATAGAAAAAATAAATTAGCTAATTAAAGGACAATGCCAGATCGTGCCCCACCTTGTACAGAAAAGGGAAATGTATGTAAAATAATATTATGAATATTGGAATTTTTTGTAATAAATCTTTATTTAGTACAACTTGCGGAAACATTAATAGAAAAAAAAAAGGAATTCACTGTTAATATTTTATCATTTCCAATATTTCAAATAACATTTGCGTTTCTTTATACGAATTAGTAAATACGCATACTTAAAATACCTATACGAAACTTATTTAAATTAAAATGTATAAATCTTTGTCACAAGAAATATTATTTACCGATTTCTATGATGATTTATTATAAACCGTCAATTATACGTCGAAAAAATTAATGTATTGAATTAAATACTTATTGAATTACAGTCATGGATTTTTGTGCATTTTGTGTAATGGTACATACACGTCATTGCCTTAAATATCGTAATTACGTATGTCAAATCAATGTAATTTATTTTCACATGTTGACTTATTTGTGCTTGTGAAACATATTTATTTATCATATTCTCTTCGTATTTCTGCTGATCTCTCGCAGCACATCTTGAGATGGAGTGATTGTCATCTTTGCGTCGACACACATGATGCGGCATGTTGGAGACATGTTATGTCCTCATAGCCCTCAGAATATAAACTCTTTTTCCAACATGAAAATCTTTACAAAAACTTATTGAATTAATAGGAAAATCCCTCATCCGACAATCCACCCAGCTGTCAAATTAAAATATAATTTGTGTGTTCTTATTTCTTTGCAGACCTACCAGCAATAGTCAAACCCACCATTGAAATTAGGATGAAAGCATATCAATTATTTTAATATATTTTGTGATGATATCGCTGTCAAATTGTAATAAAATCTACCGTATCTTCATATTCTGTGTACAATTTCGTAAAAGTAAAAAGAGGAAAATGCCCAAAATCGCGTTAGTGAATTTGTTTTTATAAAACATAAGGTTAATGTAATTATAAAAGACCAATTTAAAATAAATCGCAAGTTCTAATAACCTTAACTTATTTTATTTGCATAAAGTAATAAAACAGCAAACAAATTACGTATACGGCAATCCTGTATACCGCAATTTTAGGTGGGGCAGTTCTATAGAGATTCTGGCATACTCCTTTAAAAGCAAAGTGGCATTGGTTAATTTGTACTGAAAATAAAATTTTACTCTTAAAACTTACTCTTAGACAGGAAAGGTCTTCTCTTAGGAGTTCTTTTATCGTGCGATTCAGTTTTGGCTGCCGACAGACTACGGGTCTTTGACTGCGAGCGAGGTTTTATCACAGTCTTTTCTTCGCTTGTTCTTGTGGAGGAGCTTTTTTCTTTGTCTTTATCTTTTTCTTTTTCCTTCTCTTTTTCTCTTTCCTTCTCTTTTTCCTTCTCTTTCTCCTTTTCAATCCTTAGGAATTAAATTATGAATGAAAATAATCAAGAACGCAAAGGAAAAGTACAATTATTAACGACAACACTAAAGTGAGGGAATATAGTGTACCTGTGCTTAAGCTCACACTAGTGTACTATAATACCGTCTTGCGGATGGCTAGCCAGCCCCAGTTGAGACCAGCTGCCGTGTCCGCCGTGACGTAAATAAATTTTATAACAGATTTAATACCAAAAAATTATAATAGTTAAACGAATATCTTACTTGGGAACAGTAACAATAAGGGGTTGATTATCGGCGCTATCTTCTTCATCGCTAGCACGAGACTTTTCTTTCGCTTTTTCTACCTTCTCTAATTTGTCTTCTTTTTCACTTTTATCGCTTTTTTCAGTTTCGCTCTTGTCAGAATCTTTTTCTTTGCCGCGCTACATTTAAATAAATTTAACTTCATTTAATATGGTAAAAATTAATGAGAAAAAAAAATAATTTCAATCTATTGATACTTTATGAGTACACGGACCACCAGCGGATCGGAGGGGAGTAGCCATAGCGTTTTTCCCCGATACAAATCTGTCAGTAATTTTTTGCGGGGGAAATCTGCGCAAACTAAAATAAGTCTGTCACTACAAATTCACACATAAAAATTAAAACAATAAACTAACAATTTCACAAACGCATAGGTACATTATGACAGAATCGCTCGGTGACAGCAGCAACTCGGATACCAACTCGACTTATCTGCATATTGTGTGAGTGGCCTGTGTTGAGTAAACAAATCCGAAACGACACGACCGCTATTATTGTAATTTTTAAGTTTAGAAAAATGTGAATAGCAAAAAAAATATTTATATACGAAAAGTAACGCCATCTTTTTGTAAATATGATGTGGCAAATTTTTTTTTGTACCAAAAAAACTGAACATTTTGGCATTTTTGTGGGACGTCGATTCAGCCGCGCAACTAGATTAATTAAGTCTATACTAGAATTATTTTGTCCGTGCAGTTTGGGTCATAAATCATCGGAGTATTTCGCTCTCTCTCCCACTCACGGGCCTTAGGGGCGAGCATAGTGATGCGCATTATTGTTGTCGATAATCGTTATCGATAGTGTATTTAGTTTTGTCATTATGTGGGTTAGTGATAAAAATGAAAAAAAAAAATAGATAAAACAACGTATTTATTAAAATAAGAATAATAATGATTTAAAATAAATTATTAATTAGGTATCTATGTATTAAAAAAAACTATAAGTACAAATGTTTGGAATGTAACAAGTTATATTAAAAATAAATATAAATATAATAACTTATATCTAAAATTAAATCTAAAACTATTTACATTAAGATTCTACATCAGAATCATCAGAGTTTATTTACGTGGTAGAGCCATGCTGCAGCTATATTATGGTTGTAGCACGAACGGGTCGGCTCGACCGGGGAAGGACCACGCTCTCACAGAATACCAGCGTGAAACAGCAGCTTAACGCTGCTGTGTTTCATTTGGTGAGTGTAGAGAACCGAAGACCCTTTTTACTGGAAACGAGGCATTCCATCTTAGTCCTCACGGGTGACAACGCATCTGCATTTTGATTCTTAATTGAAGATAGATGTAGATGTCTATGGGCCACAGCAACCACTTACCATCAGGTGGACTGTGTGCTCGTTTGTCACCCTTATCCTATAAAAAAAAGTCACCGTCATCCACATGAATTACGATATCTTCTGCCAGATGAGATTTCTTCAAGTCTTTCTCTTGGAGTTTTTCTGCATGCTTCACACAATCTTCCCAGTTCTTTTGCGAAACATTTGAAATATGCTTCATGCAGTAACACTTCGATGTCTGCAATTTTAAAAGTGCTGTTTTTGGTGGCAACTTCATTTTTGCTTGAGCCCATACCAACTCAATTGGGTTATATTGGCAATGGCAAGGTGGTAAACGAATCACTTCGTGTCCTGATTCCAAAGCTAACTGATCCAATTTGTATATTTTTTCTGGTCGGTTCCGTTGCACCTTTAAATATAATGTTGTTTGTATATTCAACAAAATACTTAAAAGAAAACAAATGTATTGCAAACTTTAAATAATAAAATCTGAAATACCTTTTGTAATAGTTCCGGCTTGAGCTCACTATCACTAAACTCAATACCGTGTTGGCGGAGCCCCTCCTGAATTTCATTTTTTTTTTGTTAGCTGATGTCGGTACCCAATTTATTTGCTGGGAGTGGTAGGGTGCGTTGTCCATTATGATGACTGATAGTTCTTTAAGACTCTGCAGCAGCTTTGTAAACCAGGCTGTGAAGCCTTCGGCATTCATTTCTTAATGGTAGTCCTCGTTCTGAGACTTCACAGCACGCAATACCCATCTGGCTTCGGGTATAAAACCATATTTTGCGTAGCCTGCATGACAAACTGAAACAACATAATTAAATGAATATCATATTTTGTATTAAATTATTATTAAGTCGTATTTCTTACATAAAAGAGGAAAGAATATTTACCGATTGGGTCTGCCCCCTTTCCCGTTTTTGTGCTTAAGCCGCCTTGTCCATCCTTGTCCTGTACATTCCAAGTCTCATCTAAATAAATTCTTGGTCGAGTGTCTTCACTATTTCTCAGGGTCTTGAGTTTTCTCAGGAATTGTAACCGCGCACAAACTATGTCAGTCCTTTCCATCAATTGTTTACGACCATCTGGAGCTTGTGTGTACTTGTAAGTTCTATGAGTATTTTACGCATAGAAAAAATAGAACACTGGAATCCGTCAATTCTTTCTTTTGCTGTATTCAAAATTTTAGCCGTGGAAGGATATTCACGTCGCGATATAACGATGACACTATTTGTTTAATTACACTTTTGTCAAAGTTGTCTAACGCAGTTACTGTACAAGGCCGATAGACGCTTTCTCGCGGAGAGCTAACTTCTCCCTTTATACACTCTTTTTTAATTTTGTCGACCGCTCCAACACTCACACCACATATCGCCGCAGCAAGTTCACGAGAACGGCAGAAATTAACACTTTGTAACTTTTCGGGATATCTTTTTATTTCAGTGAAAAATGTTAAAACATTGTTGATAACAACACGAGCTTGTGCTGGTGTCAACACGCAAAATATTATTTTGAATAAATTCTATCGTTTTGGTACAAAACAAAGGAGTAGCCATTCTGTTACTAAAGAAATTCCGAGAGCGAATGCGCATAAACAAATTTGTTTTCGATATATGTATTAGATTATCATTGCACTAATTTGCAGGTATTAGGCGGGAGTAATAATGGAAAACAAATGACTCGTGACATAGCAATGTCGCACCACCCTTTGTATACCGCACCCCTACCGTGTACCTGCCTTCAATGATTCATTTGTTGTTATCGACAACGGCGTCGCCGTTACTGAGCTATGATTTATGACCCCAACTGCACGGACAAAATAATTTTACTATAGTGAACAGTGCGGCTGCAACTAGTTTGATTGTACGCATAGGACCATGTGGACAAAAAAAACAACGCAACATAAACCTGCGTGGTTTTTCGCTGTGCCGCATAACAATATTGTAACAATTTTTATCTAATAATAAAAAAAATACTTATACTTTGACAGAGAGGAACGCCTGCGTATGACTACTTTCCTCCGATCCGCCGGTGATCCGTGTTGCTCTATTGGATGTCTATTGTTATTCATTAAGATCACCAAAAAATAAAAAATAAATCTCGAGAAGTTTATTAGTTATATAGGAAGATTGGCATGTGTGTTGTGGTATCAGTAAAAGTGTGTGCGAGTGGGGCGGGTGCGTGTACCTGTGCAGGTGCGGTGGGCTGCGCGGGGGCGGCGGCGGGCGCGGGGGCGGGGGCGGGCGCAGGGGGCGCGGCGGGCGGCTGCTTGTCGCGGTCGCGGATGAGCGAGCGGCCGGCGGGCGGCGTGCGCGCGCCGCGCGGATGCGCCACCAGCGTCACGCCCAACTTGCGGTAGAAGTCCTCAAAGCTGTGTAGGAACCTGTGGTGCACCACACAATATACTTTATACTCGATGTCTACGACTACCAGATCTCGGTTCTTCGAACTATGATCCATTAAGCGAAGTGTAGGGCGGCCAACCACTAGATGCAGAGACGACATCTGGTAAAATATGCAGTAAGTGGATCGATGCAGTTGGCTCAGGAACGTGCATCGTGGTATTCCTTGGGAGTGGCTTATGATCAGCAGTGGACTTGTGAAGAGCTGTAATGATAATGATGATACTATCCATCAGTAAAACAAACATTTCATACATTCATTACAGCCTATTAAGGCGCATGGTTGAGCAAAATGTCACGCTAGTCGTTATTTGTGCAGTTTTTAAGAGCTATCTACTTTTTATTAAAAAGATATATCAACTAATAAAAAACACAATATATTTCTACATAATCTTGATTCCATAAGAGTCATCCAATTTTTTTTAAAAGGAATAAATATTAAAATAATCTCCTTACAACGAAACCACATAAATGTGAAATAATTATTGATAACATACATATCCTCGTAAAGTAAGCATTATTTTATTTTGCGACTGACACTAATGGATAGGCAATTTATTAATGAACATTTCTATCATAATTTTTTTTTCAAAAGACCAAAATTTGATTTTATTAAGAAATTATTTTAAAAACTGGGCGTATTCACTCCCCACGGGGTTGCTGTAGTCAGTGAGCACTAAGCTCTTGAAGGTGAAACCCGTGTCGTTAGTCACGGCGTCGGCCAGCGCACACGCTCACGTAATCTTATCAGTCGAAAATATTATTATTACTTATTAGGTTATTTATAGGTAGTATTATTTGTTTGTTTTGGGTATAATTTTTCGTATTAGTTACACATATATTTGTTGTGTGTTTTACTGCGCGATGAAGCTTTTTGCGTGTATTTTCTTTGAAGTAAATGCAAATATAAAAATGAAGCACCATTAGCATGTAAGGTTCGAATCCATAATTAACATTTCGACAAATATTATAATTTACACTATAAAAAGCTAATTCAATATTATCAGTATAGTATACAGTTAAAAATAATCCTAATACCTAACCACAATATCTTAGTAGGTATAGTAATTCGGTAAAAAGTATCTAAGTAGGTATTAATATACCTACCCAGTATAACTAATCACAATAGGTACCTATGTAGGTGTTATGATTAGATAAAAGGTACTTATCTAAATAGTTACCTACTTTTACTAAGTAAGTAATACCTACCCGGGCATCATTTAATTACAACCCAAAAACCCCTATAACTAAACTGACCACTTATTTTTTAACTCAAAATGGGACATGGGTTTATTTATACTCTAAAAACTATAACTTTATACAATTAGTGTTCACTATAAAATTATATTCGGTATAGACGGTAATTATTAAATGCAATATTTTTTTTAAATTATTAATTACATTTGTCAGTGGATTAAATTTGCTTTAATAAAGTCGGTGATGATTTTTAATATATAAAAATATAATTCTGCTCAAGTTTTTTTTATTGTTACCTTTGTTAACAACATCGACTTTAGAACTGGAACCGTAAGTGTTTTTTTCAGACGTCCACAATTTATTCAAAATAGAAAAATACTCTTTCTACTGGATCATTTGTACCAGGTAGACATAAAATATATTCGATTAAAAAAATTATGTTGAAGATTGTTGACTTTGAATACTTCCATCCAACGAGTTACGGGACAATTTTGTGCCCCGGAGCTTTGTTTGGGGACAATGGGACAGGTGACCGAGAAAAGGGACAGTCCCGTTCAAAACGGGACGTATGGTCACTTTACCTATAACCCTTATACTTATACTTCTTGTTGATTTTTGTATTACTTTTATTAAAGTTACCCTTATGTATAAATAAATATAATTACCTACGTATGTAGAAATAAAATTGAATAAAAATAAAAACTTTTTTTTTCATCCTCATCAATCATGAGGGTAAGGATTATCAGCCAGCATAAGTAATAAGCAGGCTAAGTTACAAGGTGCTCAGTTCGAAAATTAGTAGGTAGGTATGTTACTTTTCAATACGTGACACGTAAAAATTAATAATCAAAAACACATCTGCCAAACATCCTGTTTATTTATTTATTCTTTATTGCACCAAATATTTGTACAAAATGCGAGCTATCTATCTATTTACCTATAGTGAGTAGGTATCTTTTAAACTCACAATTTTTCAATGCTTCATTTTTAATATATAATTAATTATAAAATTTCATAATTAGATAATATATGAGAATACATAATTCTAATATAATGCAACTAATATACCGAATAAAAAAATTAAAATACATTTATCGTTGTACGCCGTGTGTATTTCCATAAAATAGTTTATTGATATTGAAAAAATAATACTGCGTTCGTACAGTAGATGGCGTCTTGCATATTTCTTACGCGATATATTGTAGCGAGTCGGCGGACCGAATGCTCAAGGTCGTTCGCATGGAGTAGCCCCTTAATACTCCTCATTTGAATATAGCCCTGCCGCTTTGATGGCCTCATGATATTTACCATAGCATGCACTAAACAGATGGGTTGGAAACCGCATTTTTTCAATTTTATTGGTTTGTAATTAGGAATATTACGCTGCCAATCTTCTGTTTTAGTTTCCCTCTGTCGTCTCTTACGACACTGAAGGGATTCCTTTTATGTCGCCACTACACGGCAATACTCAGAGCGAACGTACGACGTATATACTACTAAAACGCGACTTTTGTTTTCGTATCTCAGGCAAGACTAACTTATGTGTAAAAATCTAAGGTTTACAGCCAACATATTCTGTCCTCCTGATGGGCACAGGCCTCCTCTTAATTCTGAGAGTTATGACGCGTTTGGTCCACTGTGCTACTTCACTATGTGGTGGCGGTTCCTAATGTCTTCAAAATATTTTATTAACGATAGAAAATATCACAAACGTCAGTTTATACGTCATTGAAAATAAAAAGCACGACTTACTTTTTATATGCTTGTTTACAAAGATTTGTGATGCTTGTTGTAACAGGGTGGAAACCCATCTTGTCAGCAATGGTCTTCCATTGGTTTTGGTTTGTTACTCGATTGTAGCCACCAAGTTTCTGAACAACCTGCCGAAAAATATTCAAAAACTATACCAAAAGCCACTAAAATTAAATCTTAGTATAAGTTACTGAAACTAAGTTAAATGTACAATATTGGTCTTTTATTATCTTTCTTTGTTGGTTATAAGCAGTGGCGAAGCTAGGACTTTGAAACAGTTTACGAGTTATTTTATTAGTTGATATTATTGATTGAGCAGTTTCATAGGGCAAACCCGGCTTCTCAGCTTCTATGGAGACTTCGCTACCGGTTATATGATCTTTTCTGAAACTATCCGTTTTAAAATTCTTTAACTCAAACTTACAAAACCTAACGAATAGAATATTGATAGATGTTAAATGTCTCCAATATAAGAGATAATAGAGAAGTTGTATTCATTTTTTTTTGCCACAAATTTATATGTAAATTAAAGAGTAATTAATTTAAAGTATATTATTTAAATATTTTATTTATTAACAATTCCCTTATTTAGTAAGTATTAAAAAAAAAGTTAAATTCTTGAATGTAAAAAAACGAATTGCGATAAGGTTGTGAGGTCATTATATTCGTTGAGGCTGTGAGCCAATCGCAATCGTGCTTAAATTTTGTATTTTCTATATTCGGATCACCAAACATATTATATAGCCTGCATTATGCAATGACAATTGCACGCCTCTTGTCGCGAAACTTTATTAATAATCGGCATAGGTAGTGCTATTTCCGGGATTCAGTGACCAATATCTTAACACATACGCCTTCTGAATCCCGGAAATATATTATTTATTTATTTTATTCCACTGATTTTTATTGAGGACTGTTTTGGGAATTCATATTTTACATAACTATTTAGCTTTATGCACGTATTGTATTGGTCACTAAAGTCATCTCATTCCCTTGCGCTTTTGTAGCTCATTGCGGGTGAGGTGAATTCTCTCTCGGTTTCACTTTACCCATTCAATATAATCTTATATAAGGAATGTTTATGGCTTTTTCGAAATTCTATATAAGTCAACCTTTCCATCTGTGTAAAATAAAAGCTAGTTCACCGTGGAAAAATTTGCATAATAAAGAAATTACGCGAGCAGCGCAAAAGTGCGAGGACGATTTTTTTTACTCCAAATCTAGAAGTCTATATATGTCACCCCTAAGACAAAATATATTTTGGTCCAGCATTTGTTGTTTTGTTTTATCTTTATTATTTAATAATCATATTTCACAAATTATTATAAAAATGGTACTTATTGAGATATAATAAGAAAATTCAGTTTCTCGACTTTTATACTACATATGATTGAATGAACTACAGATAAGGTGATTTCTAACGATTTGTAATATACGAATTTGTTTCACATTGACGAACATTGAAAAGTCATCAGAATTGTATACATGACGACATATCAAATTACCCATTTCCATTACCTATAATGAGATCCCGCCTAATGAGTAGTAATATGGCAAACAGCACGGGACAAACTCATACCAGAAATGAGTAGTTTGATATGTCGTCGTGCGTACTCATCATATTTTAAGCAGTTTAACTTCATTTAATTCATCGACATTCAGAAAAATATTCCTGGGAATCCCGGGGTATGTCCATATTTAAATTATAATTCAAGTTCATTGACTAAAATGGCACTACCTACGCCGATCACTAATTATTAAGTAGTGCTTTCCTCTAGACTCATCAAATTCAAGCAATTTTGTATTCTTAAAATGCTTCTATCATAATGCACTTATAGGATAATAATGAGTAGCCTTAGATCAAGAAAATACTAATTAATCTATCGTATATTTTCTAAAACATCATTTTATATTGCTACTTTGAAATAAAAACGGTGTGAAAAAAATTATGTGTATATGTGATCAAGATAACCTGAAATAATTGACGTATTGAGACCGTGTTTTTTTTATTAGCTTCAAAATTACATCAACTGGTTCCCTACGCGTAGTTTGTTAATGATTTGCAACTTTTATTGCTATTAAAAATTTAAAGGTGCTTTCATATTTTTTTAACCCTCGATACAAAAGACAAATGTACATCATAAAGCCTGTATCCTTGATTTTATACTTTGTGTAATTTATGTATTTTGGTAAACATTATTAATTTTTTCCACTGTAGGTTTTTTTTTTACCTGTTAAAATAATAGAGCACTAAATTTAAAACACGTAAATAATATATTTTAAAAGTCAGCAATACTATTTATTTTTTTCATCAAAATTATATGAAATGCTCATGAAGCATACTTTTGAATTTTCCAAACTATTTTTTTAATTTTGACAACGTAAACATGGGCGTTACTAAAGCGATAAAATGACGTCACTGGCGTTTCAATTTACATTTTAGAAAAACCATTTTTAATTGTAAAATTACATGAAACATCAATTGTTTTTTTTTTAATAATTTTTTGTAAAACTGAAATAAATTAAATAAAATAAACTTGCAACTTCTCTATTCTAGTGTAGGGATCCTGTTTTCTAAAACAAAAGCTGAGAAAGATGTATTATACAAATGAAATACATCCACATACTTACACGAAACAGTCTATACAAGTCAATATCCCGGTTAGCAATGGTGGGATTCCTGTTGAGTGGAGTGCCACGGTCGTCCATAAACTTATACAACTGAGCGACGAAATGGTCTTTCTCTTCACGCGGTTCGTCATCGGAGCTCTGGATAAAATAATTACAGATATAAATTATTTGCAAATTTAAAAAGTACTTAGACGCTGTAGAGCCAAACTACGAATGTAAATATTATAGCTGTAGCACTAATTTATTTATTTAACCAATGATTACAATGGACGGATTTAATCCCTTAGAACATTCACTACCATTCACATTCAAAATAGAGAAAACAAGTTGGTGGGCGTTGAAAACAATATTGAACTAATGGGTAAACTTAACGGGGGAAGGACCACATTCTCACAGAAAACCCACACCTGCTATGTCTTTTTTGGTGAGTGTTAAGAGTTGGGAAATTTTACTGATAATGTCCCTGATTCTTTTTCAAGGATCGATGTGGACACAGGCTTCTCCCAAGGCGCGCCATCTAGCCCAATTATCTTGTTATTTAGCTATCGAGTTAACAGGCAAGAATATATTATAAATAGATTTGAGAGAGAAAAAGCGTTACTGAAATAATACCTTCACAATGCTCACGATTTCCTAACCTTATGATTATAATTCTTTAGTGCACAATACTAAGTTCCCTTTTATATTTTAAAAATGTTTTCATCTAGCTGTTGCAAGTCGCATATCTAAAAACTACGATTTTGGATGTCGTATGACTATCCGCCGTAAAAAAAGAACAGCCTATAAATGTTAAGGATCTGGGAAAAGTCCTTCACTCATTATTTAACATTTGACAATAGGTATAATAAAGCAGAGCTCACGTCGTCGGAGGTGTTCCTTGGCTCGTTGAAGAGCGCGTCACGGTCCCAGTGCGGCGGCAGCACGCCGTTGTTAAGGTACTGCAGCGCCGCCTCCACGCCGGCCCACTCCAGCGGCGCGCTGCCCTTGCGGAACTCACGCGCCTCCTTCTTCGGCACCGTGTAACTGTGTACATTACACAAGGGCACAGTTAACAAGCTTCGATCCACAATATACAACAGGGTGGGCTCTTCAAACACACACACACACACACATATACACGCACGCACGTACGTACGCACGCATGTACGCACGCACGCACGCACCCACTCATGCACTAACGCACGTAAGCACGAACGCACGCACGCACGCACGCACACACATTTTCTGATTAAATAATTTTAAGTTACCATTACAGCCTATTAAAAGTCCACTTCAGAACATAGGTCTCCCCAATAGCGAGGGTTATTTGCCATAGTTGTCACGTTTGGCAGGCGAAAAGGAAGTGTGTCGTGAATAGACATGATAGAAGTGAAACTTTTGTATTACATGGAAACATTTCAATTATTCATCAATGACTAAAAAAGCATAGATTGTATATATTGTGTGATATATTGTGTGTGTGTCGTGAATAGACATGATAGAAGTGAAACTTTTGTATTACATGGAAACATTTCAATTATTCATCAATGACTAAAAAAGTATAGATTGTATATATTGTTCATTTATTTACACAAAATTAAATACATATGTGTTACAGTGCATAATATCTTCTTCGATCTTAAGAAGAGAAATTATCGGTTTAGGCAACACTAGGACTCACTACAGTGAATGAAGTAATTATGTATTATAGATTCCAGTGTAACACAAAATACTCAGGTAAAACTATAGACATCCGGTACTCGCGTACGGGCGTGGGAGGGGAAGGAGGGAGGGGGGATTCAGGGGAAGCCCCCGTTTCGGAAATATATAGTTTATGAGTACTAATTTTTTTGTATATACCTTGTATATAACCTTACTTTTTTACACAGGAATATTGATTCAAATTTACTTCTGCAACGGCTTCGGCGCTGCAGGAAGTGCAGCCCATTCGCCTTTGCGTAGCAAATCGCAGGCACTTGTGTGAGCATGGATGCCTGTGATGCGAATATTGTTACTCAAAATTACTTCTGCAACGGCTTCGGCGCTGCGGGAAGTGCAGCCCCTTCGTCCTTGCGTAGCAAATCACAGGAATCCATGCTCACCTTCACAGCTTCGGCTTATTGGTCGTCGACCAGCCTCAGCCGTTACGGCTCACACAAGTGCCTGCGATTTGCTACAGCGGGCGGAGCTTGCTTTCCCTCCGCGCCTGCAGCTTTACAAAAACACTCTAGAGGTAGGACAGACCAGCCTACGTGTAGTCGGGCCGTTCTGATTAGGTTTTAGTACAGATTCGACCTATCTTATCTATAAAGTCAGGTTGTCTTAAACTCTGCTATGATAGTGTTTAATGAAACAATGTAATGTGAATTGTTATAATTTTGTTTTCCGGAAAACCCTCTTTGACTGCTCTCCAGTGCAACTCAATTCGTCATGTATGAGTCCCATCTTCAGCCACAAATGGATTGTCTGGGTCAATTACCTTTTTTATGGATGACCCCTTCTGTTATATGCAATTTTAGTAGTGAAATTTAGTTTTATCGTAATTAATTCAAAACACATTTCCGTAATTCAAAAACAGTACATATAAAAGGTTCTAGCTTAACCCTGACAAACCTCCTAAACTGAAAACATAATTAAAATCAAGTACTCGACGCACTTCTATAATACTTGACCAAATTGACATATTTGCGTTTCGTTTTATGCAATTTTTAGTGAAATTTATTTTTATCGTAATTAATTCAAAACGAATTTCCGACATCCAGAAACAGTGTAAAAGGTTCATCCTTTACCCTGACAAGCCTCCTAAACTGAAAACATAATTAAAATGAAGTACCGGACGTCTATAGCAAACCCAATACTCTAAAGTTTGTTAATTGGGTAATTATAAACCTATTATTTATGTAATTTTATTTTAATTCAACCAGAGTTTTATATAATGTCAACAAGAATTTATTTAAATGAAAATTTACAAATTGTTATTTAAAATAAACGCTGCTCTGCCTTATTGGGCTTCAAAAATTACTCCCTTGTTAATTTTTAATAGCGCCATCAATTTCATTTTATAACTAAAATAATTTTATCGAAACAAAATTGATTAACTATCATGGTGATACGTTGAAAATGTAGTAGATGGCGCTATGACTCAAATGCGATCACTTTCTAAAATAAATACGTGTACTTTGGTAACTGTCTTAAATAAAATTAATAGATTAGTATTTGAACGAAAGACTATTATAATCTTGTGGCCTGCGTTCGCGATTTGAATGATCGACCTGAATGACGCGATACGTAGTTTTACCCCCACCACTTTTCGTCACACAAAAAGGTTGCGGATCAGAATTTCAAAGCTCTCCCATAAAAAGTTTCACTTCAAAAATAAGACATCACAAATATCATAACTTTATTTGTAATCAAATGATATGTATTCAAAAACCTATAAATTTGATTTAAGTAATATCTTCATATAGGTGTTATGATGTGTGGACACTTACTACCGGCCGTCCTTGAACGAGCGCACGAGGTAATCCTCTTTGACTTTGATCTGCGCGGTTGGTGCCACCACAAGAGCAGGAAATGCGGGCTGGTGAGGACGACGCCTCTCAGCACCGCTGCCCGCCTCTACCAGCACTACACGCCCTACATGCGGCTCACTATCGGCCTTCGTGCGACGAGATACGCCTTCTCCTTCACTCTCCTCTGACCTATTATCAAAACCAAAATAAAAAAATTTACTGTTGGGTGTACCGTGACCGTAACAGCATATTAAAGTCCACTGCTGAACATAGGCCTTCCCCATAGATTGCCTCATTGGGAGATATTTACCATAGTTGCTGCGCTTGGCAAGCGGGTTGGCAACCGCTTAAAATTCATAACGTCTTCTTTGTTATTTAAGTGACTGTGAAGTAGTTATCTGTACTGTGATGTTTATAGATTAAAGTTTTGAAACTTATGTCCAAAAGTGAACAGAGAACATGCCTTATAATGTTGGGAAATATTATACTTACTGAGCTCTTCCCCTCCTACCCCGTCTGCCGGCTATCACCGGTGTGGAGAAATGTTCTGGATGTGTAAGAGGCAACTGGTCTAGAGTTTCACTTTCGTTAAAATGTCGCCCGCTTTTGAGACATAAAGCAGATCGGCGTAGTGTTGTTATATCACCATCATCGAAAACTACAACAAGAAATGTTATTTAATATTATATCATTACTCGCTTTATAAGATATTTTTAGTACTCATTGGAAAGTGTCTCCTTGTCAAACAAAATGTGTTATAAAAGGATCAACAATATATTTTAAAAGTTCGAAGTTCACTATTATTATTTAAGTGCCGATATCAATTTATATAAATTATTATATTTTTTGAGTGCTTACCAACAGTATACTGGCTACAATCCTGTATCTTTGTTATGACAGCTTCCATTGCATCCTTTTTTGGATCTTGTTTAACTTCAACTGTGCTACCTACACGCAGAGTACCCTTTATTACATCATCGTTCACTGTTGTTATTCCTCCTGCCTTGAGTGTTACCTAAAAATTATATTATAATTGTCTTACGGTTATATGTTAGAACCATTTCAGTTAGGAACTATTGCTAAATTCAGTGAATGATAATGATACACTGTGGAGCAAAAAAACGTCGTGCATTCTTGTTTTGAACATAAATAATGGAGCAAAATTAACCTTAGGTGACCTTAATTTGTGACTATCAGGAACTTTATAATATGGATTCGACTGGAGCTGAAACATCTGAAATTGTGACTTGGCACAATACTAGGCAATGTCAAGTGGCCAGAACTCTATCTTTGTGAGCCGTTCTATGGTCCAGAGAGTGTACAAACAATATAAAGAGACTGATGAGTTTATAAGACAACGCCTTTCAGGTTGAAAAAGGGTCACATCAGAGTTATTATAACATCAGTACTAATACAAATCAGGATTAAAGTTCAAAATCTCCTTAGGGAAGTGAGTGGTGTCAATGTTAATGAGTGGACAGTAAGGCTTCGATTCTGAGCCACTTCTTTGAATTTAATTTCATTTAAAAAACTGGTAAAATATTTCAAAAACCTAAGAAGAAAGATAGCATAAATATATTAAGTGTGTTCAATTAAATACAGCAATACAATTAAAATAAAACCCTAAAAACTGTAACAACCTGTCTACAAAAAAATTGCCATATTAAAATACTCATATATTTTTAAAAATAGTAACAGTTGACACATTTGAACTACTTAGTCTGCACATAGATAAACATTTGAATTATAAAACCCACATTTATTAAATCTTAAACTATCTAAATTTGCAAAAAAAAAATGGAGTTTTGATTTTTCCCTGCCAATATGTACGAAAAAGGTTGTAATCATTTATTTTTTTTTTATTTATTTAAAAGGTACACCAACAGTACATGTATACATATTGTAAAAGTTACATTTTTAAAGCACAATTACTTATACATATACCTATTATAGGCGTACACAACATTGATAGGAGATATTAAATAACAACACAATATATATCTGAAAATTTTAAAACAATGAAATAATAAAATTCACCAAAGCAAAACTTAACTGAAAACAAATGCGTATTCACAAAAGGCCGGCCAGTTTTCGTTTAAATTTAAACAACGAGTCGTGGAAAATGTCTAAGGTTTCAATATTCATCTCGTTGTACTGTGCGCAACATCTGGCAAGAGGAGAATGGCGTCCAAGGTTAGTCCTTACAGAAGGCAAGGCAAAAGTTTTTTTGATAGGATGTCGGGGCATGCGAGCTGGCACCGTCAATTTAACACGTACCAGGAGTTCACTACATTTTATTTTACCGTTGACAAGTCCGTGCAAAAACACCAAATCCTGGTCTCTTCGACGGCTACGCAACGATTTCATTTTAAAAAAGGCAAGACGATGCTCATATGGTGACCGGTGTGACACGCCCTGCGAAATAAATGCCAGATGCCTAGTGAACGCACGCTGAATACCCTCCAAGCGTTGAGATTGAACAGCATATACAGGTTTCCATGCCACGCTAGCGTACTCCAAGTTACTTCGGACCAAAGCATTGTATAATATTTTATGGGTGCAATTTAAACGGAAACCCGCAGTACTTCGCCTAAGAAAACCTAGCATTTTCGAGGATTTATTTACAATATTATTAATATGTGAAGTGAATTTAAGGTGCTTGTCTACTGTTACACCTAAGTCTCTTATTTCTTCTACTTCAGTTAATGTTGAGCCGTTAATTACATAAGTGGATGGGAAATAATTTTTCTTCTTTGTAAATTTAATATGGTAGCATTTATCAACGTTCAGGGTCATAACGTTTGATTCACACCATGTCTGAATACTGTTTAAGTCTTCCTGGATAAGTTTCATATCATGAGAAGAATTGACTGCCCTGTAAATTTTTAAGTCATCCGCAAATAGGCTGAATTTACAATTTTTTATGTGCATCGTTATATCGTCGATAAATATAAGAAACAATATTGGGCCTAAGTGAGAGCCCTGTGGGACTCCTGATGATGCAAAATATATATCTGACTCATAACCCCCAACAGCAACTACCTGGGGTCTCATACTGAGGTAAGACCTAAACCAGTGAAGCAAACTACCATGTATCCCTTTCATTTGTAATTTCGTTAAAAGTAGTGCGTGATTTACTTTATCAAAAGCACTGGTAAAATCCGTGTATACAGCATCAATTTGACATCCACTATCCACCCCCAGTGCAATTTCAGAAATAAATGAGATCAAATTAGTCTGCGTTGAGCGGCCCCTGCGGAACCCATGCTGGTACTCGGATAGTGAAGTATCTATGTGTCTAATAATTAGTGGATTAATCAGAGACTCAAACAATTTAGAAAAAGTAGACAGAATGGAAATCGGCCGGTAGTTTTTTACGTTGCTTGTTTCCCCTTTTTTGTATACAGGTACTATTTTTGCTTTTTTCCATTCCTCGGGGAACACACCATCTCTGAGTGAACAATTAAAGATCATAGTTAACGGTTGTGACAAAAGAGATCCACAGATCTTTATAAATAGAGGAGGTATTTTATCAGGACCGGCTCCTTTCTGTATGTCTAATCGTTGAATTGCTCTTAAGGTATCATTTTCAGAAAATTGAATATGCGATAAAGAAAGTGGCGATAAATCCTCAAGGTTGTGATATGATTTTTGAGAATTTAATGTGAACGTGGAAGCAAAATGTTTAGCGAAAAGAGTGGCTATTTCAGAACCAGATTCTGCAATAGAATCGTTTAATTGCATTTTTGAGGGAAGAGTTGACTGGTTGCTTCGTTTGTCTTTAATGTATTGCCAAAAATATTTGACGTTACGCGATATTCCATTCTCAATATTTGTCTTATAGTCAATATAGCACTTGTCAATAAGCTTGTGACAGCGGCTCCGTAAAAAGTCATGTTCTAATTTATCACGTGGATTACTATATTTCCAATATCTCTTGCGTAGCTTATTTTTCTCAGATAGAAGTTTAATTAATGTGCGACTAAACCATTTGGGATATTTACTCTTGGATGGACGGTGCTTGGGGACAGACCTATCAATAATTAAACTTAGTTCATCATAGAGTTTTGTAACCATTTCATTGACGTTGCTACAGCTCGCAAACCTCTCCACCCAATTAATACACTCCAGGTCCAAGGCAATTTCCTCGTAATTTGCCTTATAGAAATTGTGGTCAGTTCGTTTCTTAGGCTGAAGATAAGCAAAATTAGTTTTTTGTAACGTTACTAAAAGATTAGGATGTTTACAGTCCAGCCTACTCAAGAGTTCTAGAGGCTCGGACACATCAACACTGGGAAAGTTGCTCATAATGAGATCTAAGTATCTACCGTCACTGTTTGGTACGTTGTTAAATTGACTAAAGTTATTAAGAGACATGAAATCAACAAGACCGCATCCGAGAGTACTATTATAATTAGATGGAACCATTTGTGCAATATGATCATGTTCTCTACTCCAGTCAATGAATCCTAGATTAAAATCGCCCATAATAAGGACATTATTGGGTTGGTTCGTAACGTTATCAACCTTGCCAAGGAAATACGTCAAGGTATCTGATTTAACTGGCGGAGGTAAGTATACCGCGCAAACAGCAATATTCGAGGTAATATTGCCAATTTTTATTTGCACCGATACCCATAAATCTTCACAACTACTTTCCCATCGCTCAACACGAGCGGATGGAATGTTTCGCAAAACAGCTATTAATACTCCTCCGCCATCCATTTTAGTGGATTTGGAACATACACGATCCCTACGATAAACCTTATATCTAGAATCGAAAATTTCACTGCTAGCCACATCCGGATTCAACCAAGTCTCCGTAAACACTATAACGTCGTATGTATTTGCCAAGATGTTTTTTAACACGTCAGTTGTTTTCGTTCTCAGACCACGCACGTTTTGATAGTATATTCCATAGGTGCCTCATACGTGTGTTATCAGGATCTTTGTTGAGTAGAGGTTATCGAATCAAGACTCTCAATACTTCGAATGAGGATGGCTGGGCTATACTCATTTCTGCGTAAGAAGATGCGTCCATTACGAACCCATACGAATTTGAAATCGTGCTTCTTGGCCTTGAGGCGAGCTGCTGCGTGTAGAGACTTGATAGCTGGTGGTAAGTGTTCAGAGACAAACACAGGCTTTGGCGGACCCGCCATACCAAGATGCTGGGTTGACAGCTTTTCCTTTGGGTTACTTTTGTTAAATTTGGCAACAGCAGCCAACATGGCGTCTCGATGTCTGGGGCTGCGGAGCTTAGCAATAACCATGCGAGGCCGGTCACTGTCCTTGTTTAGCTTAGCGACTCGTGTTATATGATGAATATCTTCATCTCCAATATGGCAGTTAACGGTTTTTGCTATTTGGGTTAGAAGGGTTGACAGATTTTCCGTTTTATGTTCTGGTACACCATTTATTTCCAAATTCGACTCTCTCATATTCTGCTCTGCCAGATTGAGTCTTTGGGACATAGCTTTGACACTTGATTGCAAGGTTTCGTTGTCTTTTTGCAACCCTGTTATGATAGCCGACTTTTCCTGTAGTTCAGCCTTCATTTCCTCATATTGCTTGTTAAAGTAAGCAATGGACTCACTGAATTCCGTTATGCGCTCATTTATCGTTCCAAGTTGTACAGTTACCAATTTTTTTATCTTTTCTTCGATTACGCATGACAATTCCTCACTAAGTATTTGCCGCAGTGAATCCTCCGTCACATAACGGTCGTCAACTGGAACAGCCTGTGATTGCTGGCGAGCTCTGATGGTAACGTTGCTGGTTTCACATGATGTTTCATCAAGTACGCTGACGTTACTGGGGCCCGGCTGATTGGATTGGAGTGGTTGGCGCAACGGTGAGTTCGTGTTATCAGATTTTGGTTGCTTACTATGACATTCAGGACATTTCCAGCAGTGTCTTGTTTCGTGGGTCATTAGATTAAATCTTTTTAAACCAACATTAGCGCATAAAAGGTCATATTTAGATGAGCAAGTGGAGCACACCAGAAACTCCCTAGTAGTTATGTTGTGGCGGCATCCAGAGCATTTATTTCCAACCATTTTAAGCAAGACTTCAAGATGCGCTTAAAAGTTGAGCATAAATAAAGCGTCAGCGATAAAAACGCTACGCCGTACGTCACGTACACTGTGCGATGCGTATGTGTGCGTAGATGCGAGCCGGCCGCGAGTTGTCCTAGGTCAGGGACGGCAATTAAAAACGATTATTTTGAAAATGTTTATCGCTATTACTCACAATCTAGGTGGTATTTCACTTGTCCAATTGTGTTATTACAAAGCTTGCACTTTATGCTATCGAAACGTATATAGCAACAGGGTAAAACTTTAATCCTTACACTGATTTTGAATAAAAAATTGAGGAGCAGATTAAATTCGTGTTGTTACTTATCGGACATTTCAACATGTTACTGTTATAAAAATGCCGTGGTGTTTAAAAAGTATGTTCCAAATTCAATCTTTTGCCTGAGGCTGGTTTTTGTTTTGGTTTTAAAGAAATTCACTTTTCACATTTGTGGCGTGAACTCTTAAAAGTTCATTTTCTGGTGTGAACTCCTAAAAGTTCATTTTCGGGTCAGTCAAGAATTGAGAAGTCACAAATCTTCATATGTGGACATCAAGAATAACTCGAAAAAGTAAGAAATGTCCAAATTAGGCTATGGACAGTCAGGAGGATGTTTTTGGTTGCCAATAAATGCAGTCATCGCCCATCCCTCATCGCTAACTTACTCCGTGAGCACTGAGTTGCCATGCTTAACATCGCTCCAAATTGTGTGTCATGGACTCAAGAAGAATGGGATAGGGTATTATTCACTACAATACGGCGAGTGCTATGCAGACAAGCAAAACGCTTTGCAGAAGCATGTTTTGAAGAAATTACACCTTCTAGTGGTGGTTCTGTAGTGTCTTGGAGTGGAAAAAATTTGTTAGATCATACAGAGTTACTCTTCATCAAAAACCGCACACTGGCTTGACACCAATACATAACAGAAGTTCTAATTCCTCATGACTAACCCGCATTGGCCGGTCTTGGCAATAACTCAATTTTTATGGACGGTAACGCTCATGCCCTCCAGTCTGGCAAAGGGGAAATTATATGTGCTAGAGGTCGGAATTCTCACTACCTAAATCCCATAGAGCATATCTGGGAAGTACCTGAAGCGACGAGTGAGATCTGCAACTGGCTCTGCAGACCATCAGAGAGCTAGAGAATGTGATTATCAAGCAGTGGGAACATATTTTGCAAGAAACCATAAGAGATTAGGCGTGGTTTAAGATGTCACCATCTAGGTTTTGTTAAGTCAGTGCGGTTCATCATCTTAGGCTACATCACCACTTACCATCAGCTGGGGTTGTAGTTAAGCTCTGGCTTCGAATAGTAAAAAAAAGTTATACTCTCTAGCATGCCCAGACAAATGTGAGCTGTTATTTCAGTGAAAGGGGGTCATATGCCATAGGAAACATTCATCTGCTTTTACTTTATTAAAGAAAAAACAAACAAGAAACCATATTTCATTTTTACATAACAAGCAGGTACATTACTAGCGCATTGAACTTTAACATTATTAAATTTTAATGTAATTTTAATGAAAATGTTATGATAAAACAGATGAAAAATATTCCTTACTAAATAATTTACAAAATTCTGAGTTATCATATATAAAAATCTAAAGTTATCAAATAATCTAATAGTAACAATAAAATTGGTTCTTTGCTTAGGTGTCCATTATTTTATATAAAAGTGTTTATTATGCTCTCTTTTAATTAAGGTATATCACAAGCACAGAAATTGCATTATCAGTCAACTAGACATATGTGTACTTGTGGCTCAGCTACAGAAAAATAATATGGGGCAATAGTGTAAATGTTAAAGATCTCTTTATAATTCAAAAGAAGTGTATTTGAATCTTTGCTCAAATTAATGATACTCGGAGCTGTAAACCTTTTTTCAGAAAACTCAATTTATTTTCCACAATAAATATAATAGACATATGCAATTTAATTTCTAAAAATAGGTTTCATCTCCGGAGTTAAAGACACAGCTTAAACACAATATAAAAAGAGAGTTTATTTTTAACAGGCCATATTACATTGCCATGAAAATATTTAGTTAATTACCATCAAACATGATAAATGAACAAAATGTTAAACTATTTAATGACAACCTAAAATCATTCTTGCTCCATAAATATTTCTTTATATCTGTTGTGGAAGAATATTTAGAAGTTTATTAACCTTACTACATTGTATTAAATGAAATTCCATTATGACATCTTTATTTGCATTTAGAGGAATTATTTTGGCACTGTTACATTCTTATTTACTTATTAATTTGTTGTTGTATTGTTATAATATATTTAAATAGTTGTTTAAATAATGTTTTCATTTAATTTGTCTTATATAATGTCCTCAAAATTACAATGCTTGAAAAAGGCTATTAAGTTGTAAGTACATAATATATTGTTAGGTTTGCCTTTATACTACTTAAAAGCAAGTAAATTTTTTGTTTTGATTTGAATGATCAAGATCCTACAAGGTATCAAATCTATAAACTCACCTTGCATTTTATGTTACGAACAACTTTCTTGACTTTGGCTTCACAAAATGCACCCTTATATTTGGCACTTACATCAGTCCCCACTGGCAAAAAAGGGGGATCATCACCCTGCTAAAAGTAATAATAATAATGTCATCATCATCGGCTAGTTTCTTTCCTTTTATCCCTAACCCTCGGCAATTTGAAAAGCCTTACCAAAAGCTTCATTTAGTGTTTTTTATATTTTTCTATTATATGTATGGTATTAGAAACAGCAAATATTTTATTTTAGTTATATTTTTTTATATTCATCTATATTTATACATCCAAACCAAATGAGAATACTATATAAATTCCCCCAATGTAAAAAAAATAATTTTAAATTATTATATAAACTACATTTATAACAATATTTACTCACCATGTTGGGCGTATATGACCTAACCAAGCAACGCTATCTATATTTCCTGCAAGTCAATGTAATGTTAAGTTGTTAAGGCTTAATAGAAATATCACTTAAAACTTTAAAAAAAAAACCTTAATTTCTTAAGCTAGAAAAATAAAACCAATTTCTTTAAAAAATATAGCATTGTAATAGTTAACTCATTGTGACCAGATTGTTAAGAATTATGAAAGTAATAGTGAATGCATTTATTTACACTAAAACTAAATAATATAAAAGAAAAGTTGTTTTGACTGCGCGGCAACCGTTCTGATAACAACCTGTTAGATATTGTGTATTCAAATAAATTCACATCTGTTTATAACAACACTTGACGTTTATTGAAATTAATCACATCTTTTGAATACTCAGTAATTTTTGTAAATATTACTGGACAAAACGAAGCACGTACACCATCTTCGAAAAATGTCATTTTAACCCACTTTCATAGATAAAGTCTCTTTGACTTTGTTTTTTGTTTGTAATTTGTATCTTTGTATCATATTCTATGGTTTGTATTTATAGTTGCCATATTGTGTACCATAAAGCATTAATAATAATAATAATAATAATAATAATTGTGTCTCCCTTGCACTTAATGTCGGTTTATACGCCAGTAGTGTTCGTCGTTTGTTCGTTATTGTTTGAACATAAATTAATTCCAGGTACAATCGTTGAGTGTTTGCGGCATTAATCTTGAAAACCCATGTTTCTCACATAGCCATGTTTGTTGCCTATTCCTGTGTTGGAAAAACATTAACTTTGCATTTAAGTTTAAGTTTTTATTTCAAGCATTAATAATAATAATTATTATTGTTTATTTTGGACAACTTGTACATCCATAAGGGTTAATAAAGTACCTTAAAATTATGTTAGTAGTAAATAAAATAAGGTACAAAAATCACAATATAGATCGATACATTGCTCAAATCTTTACGAACCCAAAATATCGATTCTTCAATTAATCGCTCTCAGTCACTGACCACCAACCAACCAACCGGTTTGACGGCTTGGCCGGCCTTTTCGTTTGCCCGCGGCGGCCGTGTGCTGACGAGTCTGGAAGTTACGCTCGAATCGTTCGGTCGCGTGACCACCGCCTCTGATTGCGTTGTCTTGTTCGTGCGTTTACGTGACAACGAGGCTTTTCTTGAGTTTTGAGTGATTAACTTAACTTCGATTGCCATTAATTTGCGTCGACGAGTTGCTTGTGTGGCATTTTAATATCGTACGAAGACATTTTTCCCTTGTCGGTTAGAACGCTAAAAATTTGTGACCCGAGAGGAGATCGCGTTCGTCTTCGATTATAATTTTGTGCTAAGTGACGTTAGACTTGAGTTCACATAAAGGTGAACGCCCACTGGAGTGATCGCACATTGTGGAGCAGAGCAGCGCATGCGGGTCTGCTGCCCGATTACATCGGTGAAGTCAGGTTACATTTATACACTTTTTCACACCACTTACACCCGCATACTTACCCCTGACGGTACCTTGTGGTCGACCCTACCTCAGGAACTCGGTAAGTTTGTGTTCGTTTATCCAGCCATTACATAATAATTATCCATAGGCGATTTAGGCCCGAACCCTCTGGTTGCCCGTCGAGTGGGCTATTCATGGGCCCTAGTCCAGTCGGCTTCTGTCGGGGCAACTAAGGGCCGTAACAATATATATGTGTGTGTGTGTGTGTATGTGTGTGTAGTTTACTATCCCTAGAATTTACAGATAGGAACAGTTTGAATGGGAAAAAGAAAATTTGATTGTTTACATTTTTCCGTATAATTTATACGTGGTAGAGCCATGCTGCAGCTATATTAGTAGTATAGTTGTGGCACGAATGGGTTAGCTTGACCGGGGAAGGACCACGCTCTCACAGAATACCAGCGTAAAATAGCAGCTTAACGCTGCTGTGCTTCGTATGGTGAGTGTAGAGCACCGGAGACCCTTTTTACTGGAAATGAGGCATTCCATCTTAGTCCTCACGGGTGACAACGCATCTGCATTTTGATTTATAATAGAGGATAGATGTAGATGTCTATGGGCCGCAGCATCAACTTACCATCAGGTGGACTGTCTGCTCGTTTATCACCCTTATCATATAAAAAAGAAAATCAATTTTATCCTTCATAGAAACCTTCCTCAGACTTTATCTATGAGATGTATATGTTTGTCTCTTTTTAGTTTTTCGTTTCATCAAGTTTCAAAACACAACGATAATAAAGCACTTGTCACTTCAAAAAAATTAAATTTTGCCGTTGACACCCAATATTATTTTGTTATCTAATTAATTGTGGTCACCCAGTAATTTCTCATCACTTCACGTTCATTGCACAGTTTAATAATAATAATAATAATTAATCTTTATTTCGGATAACAAATGAGATATCACAGATATTAGAAAAATCACAAAATAATAATAATAGTAGAGCTAGGTGGACGGAGAAAGTAAAATGACACGCACGCACGCACGCATTCACGCATACACATACGCACGCAAGCACACACACACACACACACACACACACACACACACACATACACCCACGCGCCATACATACACACATACACACACAGGTAAGTCAGCCGTGCAGGACGTTAATAATTTGCCTTATTATAGGACAGTCATGTTTTTGTGCTATAACACCCAGGATACTGTTGTTGACCTTGTTCTGCTTAGTAGCGATGCGACTTTTTTGCGCATTATCGCGTCAAACCCGTCAGTGCGGATCTCACAGAAAATGCCTGAAGCGCTGCAGTAGCGGGGCAGCCCCAAAAGAACTCTAAATGAATTGTTATATTGCACCTTTAATGCTTTATACGCCCTTTGTGTGTAGTTGACCCAAAGGGAGCACGAATAGAAAGACTAGCAGTATGCCTTAAAAATAGTTATTTTAACGGCATTACTGCATCGTGCAAACCTACGGGCTAACATATTACTCCGGGACGCTAAAGCCCTACGCTCCCTCTCCATGTCCATTTCATCACGCAAATCCTCGGTCACGTAGTGTCCCAAGTATCTGAATTGTGATACCCTCGATAAAGCAGTGTTGTAGAGTCTGATAGGTGGTATGTACGTGGGACTCTTGTTATATTGGCTTTAAACAACACAAACTCACTTTTCTTTATATTATAAATTAGACCGTGTTCATTTGCATAAGCCTCACTAAATTCCCAGAAGCTTTCTGAGCGCACTGACCGAGGGATTTAACAACACCATGACGTCGGCGTAACTTAGGTTGTTGACACACTTTCCATCCACATGGCAACCGATCTTAGTGCTGCTGAGTCTCTCGAGCAGCTCATTTATATACAAGTTAAAAAATTGTGGTGAACTTATTCCACCTTGTCTCACGCCACATTTCAACTCATACGGTTCAGAAAGCTTATCTGCCCATTTTACATGATTTGTTTGATGATTGTACCAATAGCGGAAGATACCCAGAAGATCATAAGAAAAATTACATTCGGCAAGTTTTTTCCATAAAATATGATACGACACCAGGTCAAAGGCCCTCGACAGGTCTAAGAATCATCCATAAACCGGGGTTTTGCGATCTGTATAATATCTGACTGTATGTTTTAAACCTAATATTGCACTTTCTGTTGACAGCCCTGCCCTAAAACCAAACTGTGTTTCATGAATCTGAAGAACTTTTTCTAACTCATTGCTTAGCCTGTCGAGCACCTTTGCCGTCACTGTTGCTAAACTAGTCCATAGATAAGAATGAACTAGTCAGAGAATTGTTATCTATGCGAAGTGCAGATGACACAAATGAACATTGAACACGTCAAAATTAGTTTTTTGATCCATCGACTGATACGAAACGATGTTTTGAAAATGTATTTGTTGACAATTATACTGTTTTGGAGTGCCTAGACAATTTTCAAGCTATTTCGTATGAAAATCTTAAATGTTTTAATGTGTCGGACGTATTGAGTTATCAACAAAATGAAGGCTTTAGTTGCAACTGTAATCAGTCTTGCACTTACGACTGTGGTAATCGGCAATGCCTATTACCAAAAGAAACAATTTTATCCATCAATAGTGTACCTTACAAATTCAAATCCTAGCATGGCTGTAAGTGTTTTCATCATCGTTTTAATGAGACCCTTCTGGAAGCTTTTGCAACATGTTTATCAAGCTGTGAAGAATATCACTCTTCAACAACTTGCTTTATTGGCGTTAAAAATCTTTTAATATAACGCAGATATTAACAAATTGTGTCATTATAAATATTTTAACGTTAATGTAAGTAAAAATTTAGTTAAACGTGTTTTTCATTTTCAGGTAATGTATTTACAAGCTTTTATCCTTGTACTTCTTATTGGAAAATTGTTGCGAAAAATATTTTTTGGACAGCTACGACCCGCGGAATTTGAGGTAAACAGTTTGTATTAAAGCTTAGTTATTAGTAATAATAACTTATCAGTTATTACCTATATTTAGGTTTATTAAGTTATTACCTGAAGCAACATTTCAAAGAAGTATGAATGTATGCAAGGAAAAAATTTCCTCCTTGCAAAACAAATTTTATTCTTTCTTCTGTTTCAAGGTACTAAAATATGGTCAAAAATTGAGCATAGCCATATTTAATATTAAAATTAAAGTTTCAGCTTTAATAATTCATTGCTAAGCATAAGTGTCTACTCATTTCTGAAAAATTTGTGAAGCAGATAGTACACTGGATGGTTCCAATGCATAATTGATAAAAAATGTTTTCTTAAAATGTTTTCGTTTATTACTAAGCACTTGGCAAATCAGCATTTAACATTGCAATTAACAATATCATTGATACCAGTAGGGATACTTGGGTCACTTGTATATTATGAACTCAATAATGAGTGTTTTGTCTCTGAGGTACCATGACCATATTTAATAACATTTGTAAAGTGTGAAATGTATTTAGAACTAGATAAAATCTATGAAAAGTTGTCACAAACATACTGTACTATGCAATCTTCAGAAGCAGATTGTAATTCATATAGGAAATAGATCTAACAGCGTAAGGCCGTATACAGAAAGAAAGCCGGCAGCCAGCGCCGATCTATTCTGGTAACAGTTACATAAAGCAAGCCGATTGAAGCAGAGCGAGCAAAATGGCGTACTCATCGGACGATGAATTAGTTTTGTTAGAAAATGTGTATTTTAAAATGCGAAAATAAGCTATACATCCTATTAATAGAGAAAGGAAACGTTTCGGATAACACCATCATTTATTTGTAAAACAATTGAAATTTGATGATCAAAAATTCTATAGATATACAAGAATGACTCAAGAAATATTTTATTACATTTTGTACTTAGGGGGCGTTCAAGTATTACGTAACGCAATTTGGGGGGGTGGGGGGGTCTTGTAAAACGTTACGATGCGTTACAGGGGCGGGAGGGGGGTTCGACCAACGCGTTACGTAACATTTTTTTATTTTAAATAAAAAAACAAGGGAATTAAAATCTCCCAAGTTAGCAACCCTTTTCGTTTAGGTTGACGCCGAGGATTCCGATGCTAGCTGAGGTAGCAAGGGGAGTGCCTTGAAACTGAGGAGATACGACAAAGGGGTTCTTTTAGCGGTAAACTTGTGTCTTCTGGGGAATGAACTGGACTAGATTTAGTCGCCCCCAATCCGAGACTTTGTTCAGCAAAGAATCGACTTCAGACACAAGTTTTTGTTTGTTTTTTAAATTGCATTGCCAAAGGTAAAAATAAATATGTTATTTTATTTTAAGTTTATTTAATAAAATGTATGTAAGGAAAAGGCCAAGTTAAAAATACGGCGTAATTAAATGTAAGGTTAGTAGTAAAAGTTTATTAGGACTGATTTGAGCCCATTTTAACTTATTTTAAACTTAAGCAAAAGTTTATTACATTGTGTGATTGTTTATTAAATAACAATATGAATAAATAAAATAATCAACAATGTATTGCGAGGAAGAAATCTCGTTTTATTTATTACTAGCTGACCCGTCGAACTTCGTACCGCAATGTTACCATAGTAGAAATATTGACAAATATTTATACGATACGATACGATATTATATTTATTTATTTACCTTCACGCACAATCCCTGACGGGGTAGCCAGAGAGAACAGATCGCCAAGTGTCACGATCCTTACATACCTCTTTCGCTTATTTCAGATTCATTCTCTTCTTCATACATGCACGTCTAGGTATCCGAGTACTCTTGACCCTCCCCTCTTCGAGCAATTTGCTCACATGGTCTTCGAAAGTTAGTCTCGATCTACCTCGACACCTTTTAATATTTATTTTCGCGCTATATATATTTTCTTCACCATTCGGCCTTCACTCATTCGCTCAACGTGCCCAAACCATCGAAGCACGCCCTTATCAATTTTTGTGATAAGGTCATCTTTCAAACCTGCCATATTGCGAATCTCTTCGTTTCGCTTTCGGTCGGCCATGGTAACGCCGCACATTTTACGAAGAGATCGCTTCTCCACTGCATTCAACTTGCTTTTATGCTTCTTCTGGCATACCCAGGTTTCGCTGCCATATAACAAATATTATATTTATACGATAATAACGTCACTCAATTGTTTTGCCTTCCCGGAACCCCTCCACTAACACCTAAACTTTATTGGTATGGTGTTAAAGTTCAAATTGCCTTTTAAGTATTGTTACGAATTTATTGTTTGGGAATATAGAAAAGTGTTGTTTTTTTACTTTTTCAGGCAATTCTTTAAACTTTTCTCACCGTAAGAACCATATTAGTACTTCAGGAAATATTATAAAAAAAGAATTAGCGAAATCGGTCCAGCTGCTCTCGAGATTTGCGCTTAGCAACACATTCGGCGATTCATTTTTATATTATAGATTACCGCAAACGCGATTAAAACAATAACAAAGTTATTTTAGCGACTTTCCGGTAATTTGCGCAAAGTAATTGTGAATTTTAGGTAAAAATGGTCACTTGGGTGTTACGTAACGTTTAGAGAGGGGGAGGGGGGGTCCATATAAACGTTACGGCGCGTTACATAGGGGGGTGGGAGGGTCAAAAATCTTCAAAAATTGCGTTACGTAATACTTGAACGGTCCCTTAGTGGAAAAACATTTGAAGAAAATTGGTCTAATTGGCATAAACAACCAATCCTTCCAGAAAAAAGACTAAGTACGAAAAAATATATCTATCGCTTAGTTATTAATAGATAAAGTTATTACATTTATAAAATTATAATTAAATAAGTATAAGATATAATTAAAAGATTATAATAAATGTTTAAGAAAAAATGTTTATTTGTCAATTAGTCAATTTTTACAAAATATTTGCCTTAGAACTCTAAAGCTCTGTAATAAATAATAATTTAAAATGTTTAAACGTGGTTTAAATAACAACTTGTTCAGTCAATAGCAGATCAAGCGTAACACTTTGAGATTTGTACCGACCTTATTATTTTGTAATAAGAGCGATTTTAAGAAGTATGTAAGTGTACCCTTGATATGCCATCTTCCGTACAATCAACACGTCACTATTCATTTCTCTATTTAACAAAAATATATGCATGTCGTAGTTGTATGTGTTGTCGTATAGTTGTTCATTAATTTAAAATGGTGGGCGGCGCCAGCGCTGACTGGCCCGTGTCGAAGATTGTCGGAGCTTGTAGGCGACGTTCGGCGCTTATCGGTGCTTATTGGCGCCTTTTCATATAAATGCCTGCGCCGGTTACCTGTGTGGACCAGTCCCTATAAGCGCTGATAGGCTGCCAGCTTTCTTTCTGTATACGGCCTAAGGGTCAAAAATATTCTTGATACATATGATGGAGTAACTTGATAAGACATGTAGGAGTTGGTAATGCTTATTAACTTTACTTAGAAAAAGCGTTTTCAGTATACTATCTAAAATCTACAATAAGGTTCCATCATAATTCATGTTTCATGAAATGGAAAATATTCAAAAATTTAAAAAAGAATTTAAAACATTTTTAATTGAGAAATGCTAATACTCAATTGATGAATATTTAAGCGACGCATCAGTAGGCATATTATAACGACATTGCATAAATATAATTTTTTGACATTCGATTAGACTATATATTATTGTAAATATCCTATTCTAATTAATAATTACATCATTGTTGAATATTCTAATATAAATATTATATAAATAATATAATGAAATAATTTAAATGTGGAAACGTATTAGATATAATTGTAGCTATAATATTTGTACACCTACAGGTTGAATGCAGCGAACATCATTTTGTTAAGATCTATTCTGTCTCATTACCTGTATTGACAAATAAATAAAATTTGAAATTTGAATTATTGCTCATAACCAGGTTTTGTGACTCTTTTTGGTAAAAATCGGAATTGAACTATTAGTTGCAATGATGTTCTGTTAAAATATAAAATTGTATGAAAAAGTCCTCCAAAGTTTTTATAACTCATTAAATTGTTAATTAGTCTTAAAAAAGGGTTATAGAAAGTCTTTCCTTCAGTTCTATATTGGATTAAAACAATTGTCACCACTAATTAAAATTTCTTTTGTTTCAGCATTTGATAGAAAGGTCTTGGTATGCAATAACTGAAACTTGTCTGGCTTTTACTGTCTTCAGAGATGATTTTAATCCAAAATTTATTGCTTTGTTCACTCTCTTGCTATTTTTGAAAGCATTTCATTGGCTTGCTGAGGATAGAGTTGACTATGTAAGTATTTTTCTAACAATGTAATATAAAAAATATTATAAACCAGTAACTAATCTTTCTATTGCTTATTAGATGGAGCGGAGCCCTGTAATTGGTTGGTTATTCCATGTGAGAATACTTTCTTTGCTGATGCTTTTATCACATGCTGATTTTTACTTTATCCATCATGCATATCAATTTACTATTTCAAAAGGACCTTCAGTGCAATTAGTGTTTGGATTTGAGTATAGTATATTGATAATTATGATTGTCAACATATTGATAAAGGTTTGTAACTTCTTTTTTTACAATATTTGCTTGATATATTTTCTTCATTTACCAAGTTCATTTGAAATTATCATTACTTCAGAATCAAAATGTGGTAGAGTGTATTAGCATGAATGAAAATAGCAGGTTAATGCTGCTGTATTGCATATGGTAAGTGTGGAGAACCAGAGAGCCTTTTACTGGAAATGAGGCATTCCATCTTAGTCCTCACAGGTGACAATGTATATTTGCATTTTGATTCTTAATCAAGGATTAAAGTAGATGTCTATGGGCCACAGCATCCACTTACCTTGAGGTGGATTGTATACTTGTTTTGCAACCTTATTCTATAAAAAAAATACGTCAAAATATTTATTTAGATCAATTACAAAAAAATTGATGCTATTAATATGTATCTAAGCTTCTAGAGTTATTGGCTATTTATACTAAATTAAAAAAAAATTGGAGCTTATTCCTTTGATATGGGTGTCTATATTTTATAATAGTCCATTTTCTAAATAATTCAAATTTAGTTTGTTTTTACAATAAGAAAATTGCTTATAAAAATTTGTTAAATTTTTATTTAACAGTATGTCTTGCATGCGATTGATTCGCGGTGGGAAGCCCCATGGGAGAGTAAGACAGCAGTACTCTTGTACACTGAATTGGCAATCAATTTCCTGAAAGTACTTCTCTATATTGGATTCGTTGCTGTTATGGTCAGGATATATACCTTACCTCTCTTTGCTTTCCGGCCAATGTATGAAACAATGAGGTAAGACATTGATAAGATTGTCTTATTGTAGTTTGCATAACTATGTTAATTTTTGTGATGTCATGCTTGCTTTAATCAACAGGTTATAGAAAACTTTGTATAATGTGTTTCTCTATATGCAGCATTAAATGAAAATGCATATTCAGTATCACATTTTCATATATACAACATAACTTTAATTTCAATTCGTGAATATTTATAGACCTATTGATACTTTATCAATGAATAATTTCGAAAAACCTGTGATAAAAATCGCAAACAAAGGAGTCAAATTATAGAGTCACGGATCAATAAAGCGAATGAATGAAATTAAAGCAAAAATAAAAATGTTCCATTTGCATGCATTAGAATAAAAATAATGTTTGGGACATTATCAAATTTCTACCAAAAGGTGCACCGCGTTGCGTCGCTTGAGCGGCTCACCGGGAATTGGAACATGGATTTAAGTCTGTATTGTCTATTTTAGTTTTGTAGTCATTCACCTGAATGTGTATCAATATCAGCATTGCATTTTTGCAACATAGATACCCAATTATGTATTGGGTATCTACTGATTTAAGTTACGAGTTTTCAATTTTATTGCGAAAGGGAAGATTTTTGTTATTAGTAGTGTTTCAATAACAATTTAATAGAGTTAATTTACTAGAGTTTTTTTATTTCATTTGTGCCGGTGTTTGTGTTGATTGTTGTATCCATTTTTCGAGAAACAGATGCTTTCTATGGTATTGTACTTATAGATTTACAATGTTCCAGCATAGCTATTTCGCAGCTAAGCATGCTGACATGATTTTATTCTATTGTAGCACTTGCATTAAGAACTTACTGGGAAAATGAGTGTTTGTCTTACAAACTCACGATAAATTATAGGTGTTTTCCCATTGCATGAGAGAAATATATTAGTAGTATAGTTGTAGCACGAATGGGTCAGCTTGACCAGCGTAAAATAGCAGCTTAACACTGCTGTGTTTCGTATGGTGAGTGTAGAGAACCGGAGACCCTTTTTACTGGAAAAGAGGCATTCCATCTTAGTCCTCACGGGTGACAACGCATCTACATTTTGGTTCTTTATTGAGGATAGATGTAGATGTCTATGGGTCACAGCAACCGCTTACCATCAGGTGGACTGTGTGCTCGTTTGTCACGATATTCTATAAAAAAAATGTTATTGCGTTGGATCAAACTGAACCATTCCCTTCAAAACGGGTTGCTTTACGTCAAATACTGGTATCGAAGGTAGACGAAAATTTGTGATATTTTCATATTTGAGCTAAGGTACTAGCAGAATGTATTTAGTTTCAAACCAGGGGAACTGCATATCCGTTGCCGGATAAAAAAAAAGAGTAGTCTCTTTTAAAGTAGCTGTAAGTGATAATATCGCGAGCGCCGTACCGCGCCGTCGACGAAGAATTCGCGCCCGCGGGCTTAGGAACCATGCTATGTTGCCACTTTCAGTAGTAAATTATGAAAGTTCACTTTTCGCTGTAGTTTACACACTGTTTTATAACTTGCGATTTGATTTGATTTTTTTTTTAATTACGTGCGAATTTTAAGTTTATTTATTTTACAACATCCTGCCGTGCATCCGAGCCGCAGTAGCTCGAGGGCTAATAGCTCGCTCTAAATTTCACAGTACGCGAGTAACCCGGGTTCGATCCCCGCCGGCACCAATGAAATTGTTAATGGCAATTTTAAATGCTGATTTACCACATACTGCGCGGTAAAGGAAAACATCTTGACAAAACCTGCATATCTGAGAAATAAGAAAAAAAAAACCACTTCGAAGACTTGTGAAGTTCGCCAACACGCATTGGGGCAGCGCGACGCACATTTCCTTGCCCTAAAACCCTATCAGAAATGAGAGGCCTGTGCCCGGCTGTGGGACGTATATATCATGTAACTTTACTTTTACTACATCCTACTAATTATACTACTAATTAGCACTACCGGGTGTTTTTATTTAAAGTCGTACTTAGCAAAACGTATATATGTTCACCACCCACTATCAATCTACGATCATACCCCTATTTTTACGTAGGCAATGTCGGGTATTGCTACCAGTTTATGATAACTGACTTGATTTGTATTTCGTATTTTTAACTTCAAGTAAGCAGAATATGTTACTAAGAATTAAATGCAGTTAAATTATATTTAATATCTTTTGTATATTACGTAAGTTGATAAATTAATGTAATAGTAAAAAATATCTATTGTTTTGTCTGGTTGGACACCTGATGTAATTCCAAAACTATAATATGTATAACTAAGCTATATTATATACACTTCAATAATTACTTTAATACACTGTTAGCTTCATGTTACAAATACAAAATTAAACTTTTAATAGAATGTAAAAGCTGGCTTCAAAGCACCTTACTCAGAAGAATAAAATATTTTCCACATAGGAGCTTCTGAAGTCGGTATTTTAGTTCTTTAAAGTAGGCTTTCACATTTTATTAAATGTTATTTTTTTCTTTACGTCTTTTACATAAAAGCAATATGTGTATATATATTTGTTTAACCGTGGTGGTGATTAATATCCACTACTCACTACACTTCTTTAGTCAATCGAAATATATATTTGTATACTTGTAGGAGTTTTAAGAAAGCCTACAATGATGTGGTACTTTCACGGCGCGCGATACGCAACATGAACACTTTATATCCCGACGCGACGCCGGCCGAACTAGCTGCCGCTGACAATGAGTGCATAATTTGTCGAGAGGAGATGCATAGTGGTGAGTATTTATTCACAAAATTAATAAAACACTAAATAATTTTTAATTACAATGATGACGGCTCCGGTTGGAATTCGAACTTTAACAAGCGACGTAGCAAAATTCAGACCCATAATAAATATTGTAAATTCTTTAAAAAAAAAGACGGGCACCTAAGCAATGAACAAATAAAAATATTGTTACTATTAGATTGCTTGATAATTTAAGGTAAAGTCCGTACGGATAAAGAATGGAATTAGAAATGGCGGCTCATTGAGCCCGTACCGTCCACATATACAGTAACAATAGCGAAAAGCCACTAATAACCGTATAACGTTATGTTACGCGGTTAGTCATTTGCTTTTAATGGGAAAATATTTGAAAATAATTGTATAGGCAAGTAGTTATATTAATTTTAATATAGAATTTATAACTAGCGACCCGCTCAGGCTTAAGATAATCATTAAATACCAATTTATTTCATCTTATCAATATTTCCATTTTAATAAAATCTCTCATTTTTTCGGATAAATTTTAGTCTAGTTCACTCCTGGTATTACTAGATTAGCTCGCACAGACGGACAGATAAAAGATAATAAAAGAAATATTACTCATGTTTCAATGACATGTAAATATATTTTATACAAATATATTAACAAACAAAATCAACAATAATTATGAAGAAGACTCTCCGAACGCTAGGCGCTCAAGCGTTAGCGAAGCCGGGCTGATTTATTTGTAGTTTATGGCCTTTTGTTGTCATTGACATCAGTGACAAGCTGGACTGAAATTATAGGACGTACGAGAAACGCATATCGCAACGTATTTTTTTTGTAGTCTACCGGCAGGTGTGAGTAAAGATAGAGACAGTGTGCGAGCGAGAGGTGAATAGAAGCATTCTTTAATCGCACGGCTAATAGTAATAATACTCAAGAATACTAAAGAATAATACTCAGAATTTTTTAAATTAATTGGCAAATAATTTTTGTCAGTGTCGCTAGTAGTGTACATGGTCGCTACCTGTTTTCATTTTCTTTAATAAATTAAAAGCAGATAACAGTTTATTGTTGAGTCTGACCCCGTCTTGCTGAAATTACAGTTTGAATTCGTCGAAAGATTATGTTTAATGTCCATGTCACACCTATGCCGGTAGTTGTTGGGAGCACTAAGCTCGAAGTTGTTGACGAGTATGTTTACCTGGGACAAATAGTCCGTCTAGGTAAGTCCAACTTCGACCGGGAGGTCAATCGACGGATTCAACTCGGCTGGGCAGCGTTCGGGAAGCTACGACACATCTTCTCGTGAGACATACCTCAAAACCTTAAAACGAAATTGTACAATCAGTGCGTGTTGCCAGTGATGACTTACGGAACTGAGACGTGGTCCTTCACTGCTGGCCGTATGAGGAAGCTCAAGGTCGCTCAGTGAACAATGGAGAGGGCTATGCTCGGAGTTTCTCTGCGTGATAAACTTAGGAATGAGGATATCCGCAGTAGAACCAGAGTAACCGACATAGCCCAACGGATTAGTAAGCTGAAGTGGCAGTGGGCCGGCCATATAGCTCGAAGAACCGACAACCGATGGGGAAGAAAGGTTCTTGAGTGGCAGCCTCGTACCGGTAGGCGAAGTGTAGGATGACCCCCCATGAGATGGAGTGACGACCTGGTAAGACATGCAGGAAGACGATGGATGCAGGTGGCTCAGGATCGTGCCTTGTGGCATTCCTTTGGGGAGACCTATGTTCAGCAGTGGACTTATGGCTGTAATGATGATGATGATGATGATGGTCCTAATGCAGCGTCAGTAAGAGTAGGTAGCACAAAGTTGGTTCAAGCGTTTTTAGCCCGGAATTTTGATGTCAAAAATGCAGCTCGCTCTGGTCGCTCCCAAACGGATAAAGTTGATGTGGAGCAAGATCGGCATATTAGTAGTTACGACATTGCCGAGGAATTGAGGATTGACCACTAAACAATTTTGACCCATTTAAAAAAGTCTACAAAAAAAGTTCGATATTTGGGTACCCCACGAACTCACAGAAAGAAATTTATTGAAACTGAATGAAACCGAACCATTTTTGAAAATATTGATCACTGGTGATGGTAAATGGTTCACCTGCGACAAGAACGTGCGAAAAAGATCATGGTTAAAGGTTAGTCAAGCTCCACGGACTAGTGAAACCCGGATTAACACGCAATAAGATGAAGCTGTGTGTACGGTAGGTATTGGAAGGGCATAGTTTATTATGAGCATTTACCATCGGGCAAAACCATCGATTTGAATTTTTACTGACAACTAATAAAACTCAAGCAAGAAATTGCGAGTAAACGGCCGAAATTGATTAACAGAAAAGGAATAGTCTTTCATCATGATCATGCCAGACCACTCCCATCTTTGGCCACTCACCAAAATTGAGAGCTTGGTTGGGAACTGTTAATGCATCCACCATGTAGTTCTGACCTTGCACCCTCATATTTTCACCTGTTTCGGTCTCTTCAGGATTCTTTGGGTAGTGTTAGGTTAACATCAAAAGACGGCAGTCAAAACAATTAGTCGCGTTTTTTTGATCAAAAATCCGAAGATATCTACAGCAACGGGAATATGTCACTATCAACAAGATGGCAACAAATTATCGAACAAATAGGCACATATATATTATATTTAAAAGTCTTGAATTTGTATATAAAATACGAAGAAACTTTTTCCCCGGATTTTTATAATATGAGAATTATAACTGTTAAAATACTTTTATTACACATTATATTGCTAGATATTAACCGGATAATTATCAGATAATTATTATCAATGAACGTTATTATCTTGATAACTTGCAACTCTGAAAATAATCCACCATCCCATATCATCCCATCCCATGGGTGTCGAGTAAGATGCTACAGTGGCAAGACTATAATAAAAATTGTGGTTGCCAACCTGCTTGCCAAGCGTGGTTACCATGACAAATATACCCCTTACGAGGCAATGAAATATGTGCCTATGTTTAACAGTGGGCTTTTAACCAGCTGTAATGAAGCAAGGGGCGAAAAATTTACATCTATTATAGCGGGTTTAGACTCTCGCCTCGCATCTCGCCTCGTACCTCGCCTCGCAGCTCGCGTGTTGTCGCGAGGTAACGAGTGCCTGTTTACACTCTCGCGATGCGTTCGGTTTGCGTTGAGCCAGCGACGATGAAAGACGTCGAAATAATAGCGGCATCAACTATTGCATTAATAAATATTATCGATGCTTGACCATTTTAAAAAGAAGGAAATTAAAAAAAATACCTCGTTGAGGAAGAATATGGTGGATGATATCTATTCATCGAAACAGAACCTTTTCAGTTTCATAATTTTATATAAATTGCTAGTACCTATTGTGCAAGATTAAATAATACTATTTTATTAAAATTGTAATTTTAAAACAAAAGCAATTCGAATGTTATTATGGAAGGGCGCCGTGAAAAATTAAAACGAGAGCGCGAGTGTGAACACCACGCTCGCGTCGCTCGTGAGGCCCTTTGCCTCGTGCCCAAAATACCGCCTCCGACGGGAGCGCCGCTAGTGGCGAGGCAAGCTGCCAGGCGAGCCACGAGCTAGCGTTTACACTCGCACCTCGTGGCTCGCCTCGCCGCTCGCGCGAGAGTGTAAACGGGGGGTTAGGGATTGTACACGCCCCTAGCTGCCCCAACAAAGGTTAACTGGACTAGCGCCCATCAGTAGTCCAATAGACGGGCAGCAGAGGACGGGGCCCTACGGCCTATGGAGACTTATCATTCTACACAATAGATATAAGGCTAGGTAAATAAATAGTACGTACCTGGTTCCGAAGCTAAGACTGCCCCAAGGCTCGGTCAGGCGGTAGGTAGGTGTAGGTGCATGTAAGTGGTGTGTAGTAGTGTTTATATATGTAACCTGACGGCCCGATTTAATCGGACAGAAAATCCACCGGAGCTGATGTTCTCCCAATGCGCGCTCCCTCAAATCGTGGATCACCCATGGAAAATTTCTGCCTTAATTTCACTATTTCAGTCTATCAACTTTATTGTACATTTAACTAACTTCAAAGTCAACTAAATTCAACGTTCATCGAAATCAAATACGTGACACCCGACTCAAGTGATGAACAGTCGTTCAAAGTTCAATATTGAATGTTCCGAATTCATTTAGCACCAAATTACAAACAGGGAACGAACGCGATCTCTTCTCGAGTCACAAAGTTCAGCGTTACAAACAACAAACTAAATTACTTCGTACGATATTAAACACTACGCCCGCATTAAGACTCAAAAGCAGCCTAGCTGACACGCAAACTAACTACATAGTCAACACACAAAAGGCACTTAACGTGACGGTACAATTAAACATTAACTTCCATAAACAATTAACCGGGCCACGCCCTCGCAATGGAATGCAAACATCAAATTCCAGACCGTATGTCTACTCGGCGTGCGCGCAAGGTTCCACGTCACACAAGCAAGTTAAATATTGCAAAATGCACTTCCACATGCAATCACTATACAATTGACGTAATTACTTTCAAACGAAATTACTTTAATCAGTCAAATTCAATACAAGCCTCTTGTCACGAACGTACAACTTAGACAAACTAATTCGAGGCGATCTACACGAAACCCCAAATTCTATAGCAAATTAAACGCGCACAAATACTCAAATTCTAGACCCCAAAACCAAAAAACGGGTCCCGCGAAACCGAAGTAGCGGTCAGTAAAATTCGCTAATCGACAGCGCCGCTGCTGTCAAGCTACTGACTTCGCACTCGCGTCCTGCGCCCGCGCCCGCTGCCGAGCGACCCACACGGGAGTGGGGCGACGGTGACCTTTACAAAGTCAGCGGGAGGACAAGAGTGTTGAATGCAAATTTCAAATGTTAATTGTTTGACCTAAACAGGGATTATTCAGACAAAAAGCGTTCACGCGTTCAAGCGTTCTGCGTTCGCGTTCTGCGTTCGTTGTGTTGTATTACGTTACATAGACATACCCAGACAGCAGGCATTCTGACCGTGTCGGT